TCCCCAACACCCGCATCGACCCACCACAACCCCTCGCCGCCGCCTCGACCACCACAACGCCTTTGCCGCCGCGGTTAACCACCACAGTCCGTCGCCGCCGCCTCACCCACCACAGCCTCCCATCGCCGCCGTCCACCACAATCCCTGCGGCCCAGCCGTCTCAACCCACAGCCTTGCGCCGCCGCCTCAACCACCAGCCCCCACCGCCGCCATCTACTACTGAATAAATTGGCAATAAAGAGATATAGAGATAGAGATGTGAGAGAGAGAGAGAGAGAGAGAGAGAAAACAAAAACAAAAGAGAAAGAAAAAGTGATACAGAGAACGTGTGAGAGAGATGGAGAGAAAGAGAAAGAATGTGAGAGAATACCAAAAGAAACGTGAATATGTAGGTTATATAATTTAGGGTATAAGTGCAAGATAAGGATGAAAAAAATGAGGGATGTGGCTCATATATTATTTCAATGTAAGGAATTATTTAAAAAAAAGAATTTGAACATGTCATTTAGTTCAAATTAGGTTTTGTTTAAGGGGCTCATAGCATATTACCCCTTAAATGTAACAATTTGTCATATGTTTGGTTGAATTGTGTAGGCTTGTGTCAACAATCGATTTTGAATCGAGTATCGAGTAGTTTGGTTCGATGTCAACTCTGCCTATAAATACCCTGAAATACCATTAATGAAGGCACAAAGTATTTTGCCTCTCAAAAAACTCTTTGAATTCTCTAAATTTGCCCATTAAATAAATTAGCGGTGGGAGCAAGTGAGTCTGTGTTTGTTGACCCTTCGTCAACGGTTGCTAAGTAGAGCTTCTCACAAATAGTTTGTCTAGTGCAATTTACGTCTTTCGTAAATTTACAAACTATTATACAATAATCACTGCACTTATATTGTTACCCAGTTCCTTCATTACCAAATTTAAAACATTATAAGAAAATTTTAAAAGGGCTTAAGTTCTTGAGCCCACGACGACCATATGACCTATTCAACATATATCGGGCATTAAATCAAGGCCCAGAAGTTTGGGCTTTTAACTTCAATCTAGAGAGATAAAGTGGACATGGATCAAAAGTAAATAAATAAATCCAATACTATAATTTTTGTGTTGCATGAATTAGATCAATTTAAATTAATAATTTTATGCACAAAATATAAATTTAATTGCATAATTAGGACAACCTTACATGAATCTCTACCTTTCATTTGTATACAACAGAATTTCAATAAATTAATATCTTATTTAAATAATAAAAAATTCCCGATCTCGATTTATGGCCAATGTGCTAAATTAATAATTCTTAAAAAAAAGCATAATACATTACATTTTTAATAAATATATAAATACATAACAAAAAATAATTTTTTTGTCCAGTATATTTTTAATAGTAGTAATTTAACTGTATTAATTTATAGAAATTTAATGTATAATATGGTAAGTGGTTACATAATCTACTTGGGGCTATTTTGGTTCAGCTGATCCGGGCTGATAGATCCTATAATCAGGCCGGATCTCAGATTTGGTTCGATTTAAGTTGAGGCGGATATGATTATTTCTGGTATCGATTATCTTCGCGAGGTGAGTTTTTCGTAGCTTTAAACATTTCTTTTATATTGTCTTCTCATATGAACATGTTTTCGACATTGTTGTCATTTTGAGCTCAATTTAAAAAATAAAAATCTAAATCAATACACCCCCTTCTGTTAATGGCATTTGGTAATGTTATGTGCTTACTATTGATATTTTTTTTCTCAATCTTTGACAATTTGGTGACGTTTGATAGGGTCTGCAATCCTTGAATCTCATTTGTTGAAGTGCAAACAATGTCCCACATCGGTTTAATATGGGAAATATCAATCATTTATAAGGAGGGGATAGCAATTCCACTGGAATGAGGCATTTTGGAGAAACCCAAGAGCAAAATCAGTTGGGTCCGGCCCAATCTGGACAATATCATACCAAAGTGGAGTTTGTGCTATCCCGGCGGGCGCACTACTTTCTTGGTAAGAAAGTTTATGTTTAAATCATTATAACATGTTATATTTTATTGGGATGATTTTTTTATGTTTTATTTTATCAATGCACTTTCACTTTTTTTGTTTTGAATTGAGTGAAAAATATGAAAATACAATACAATTGTAGCTACTTGAGGAGTTTGAGTACTAATAAATTGAACATTACTTGTGTTGCCAATAGTTGGATTGTAATTTGTGTTATAAATAAATAATAGCATGTGGATTTTTCTCGCAGTTATTTCTTAATCGTTGAACTCGATTATATATACCCTTAATTAGTTGACTTCCTAGATTGAGTTCGTTAATTAATTTATGTTATTTAGATGAAAACATCTCCATTGACATTATCTATTTATTACTATAATTTTTATACTTCATGTTAGTTTGATTATAATATGTTCTACTATATATTAAACTGGTTTTAACATTTGATTAATGTTAATGCAGGATAAAGTGGAACAACTTCTCAAGTTTTTGAAGAACGATGCTATTGAACAGTCTGATGTGTTGTAGTATATGTTTTCCGAAGTCAATGGAAAATATGTGCATAATATTTTTAGACTACAAATTGAATTTATTCATATGTTACAGCTTGTCAAACAATCATATATTATTGAAAGTTGTTATTTTTGTTCAGTGGAATTAAATTTTATTATTTTTGTGCTTATAACATGGATGAATTCATTGATTAAAATAAAATAATCTGGAGATTTGGATAAGACAAATGCTACTCATTTTTTAAGTATTAGAATAAAAAAAAAAATCATCTTCCTTATTTTTTATGAACATAGACGAAAAAAAGAAAAAAATCTGATTAAATTTTGGAATGATCTAGAAGATGAAACACCATTGTAGAAAAAAATACAACTTTGCAGGGGTAATATCGTCCAAAATAGGCCTTGGGAGATACACAAATAAAATCCAAGTTGTTTCAATTTAATATGTAATAATATATACTTATCCCAATATATATATATATAATAGATCAAGCAAGCGTAGTCCACTAAACTATAGATACAGAGGAAAAATGGGCAGCAGCCGACTTCACTCCGGCGAATCTCCGCAAAACATTCACGTTTTCATGGTTTCTTTCCCGGGTCAGGGTCACGTGAACCCACTCCTCCGCCTCGCCAAGCGTCTCGCCGGTTTCGGCCTCTTCGTCACTCTCGCCGCCCCCGAATCCGCCGGAGTCACCATCCGTAAATCCAGCGACGGCGAGCCGGTCCGGTCGGGCCGGGGCGAAATCCGGTTCGAATTTTTCGACGACGGGTGGGACCCGACCCGCCCGAAAAGCAGCAACGACCTCGACGCGTACGTCGCCCAGCTGGAGCTCGTCGGCCGGGAGAAACTCCCTCTGATGATCCGTAACCACCAGGAAACGGGTCGACCCGTTTCATGCTTAATCAACAACCCGTTTATCCCGTGGGTTACGGATGTAGCCGAGAGTTTGGGTATTCCGAGCGCGATGCTTTGGGTTCAGTCTTGCGCGAGTTTCTCAGCTTATTACCATTACTGCCACAACCTCGTACCTTTCCCTAGTGAAGAAGAACCAGAGATCGATGTTCAGTTGCCCTTTCTGCCATTGTTGAAGCACGACGAAGTTCCGAGTTTCTTGCATCCGAGCACCGACTACCCTTTTCTGGGGAGGGTAATTTTGGGACAATTTAAAAATTTGTCCAAAACTTTTTGTGTATTGATGGACACTTTTGAGGAGCTGGAGCGTGAGATTATCTGCCACGTGTCCGAAGTTTGCGGCCGCCCCGTCAGGACTATTGGCCCGCTGTTCAAGGAGCTCGGGGGTTTCAGCGGTGATGGTGAGATTATCCGTGCGGATTTTTTCACGGCGGAGGATGGTGTTGTTGGGTGGCTGGATACGAAGGCGGCGGCGACGGTGGTTTACGTTTCGTTTGGGAGTGTTGTGAGTTTGGAGCAGGAGCAGGTGGAGGAGATTGCGTACGGGCTACTTGGATCTGGGGTTTCGTTTCTGTGGGTTCTACGGCCGCCGGCGAAGGAGTCGGAGTCAGCGGCGGCGGCGCGTGTTCTGCCGGTGGGGTTTCTGGAGGGGCTTGGGGATAGGGGGAGGGTGGTGACGTGGGCACCGCAGGAGGAGGTGCTGGCGCACCCCTCGACGGCGTGTTTCGTGACGCACTGCGGGTGGAACTCGACGGTGGAGGCGCTGGCCGGCGGGGTTCCGGTGGTGGCGTTCCCTCAGTGGGGGGATCAGGTGACGGACGCGAAGTTCTTGGTTGATGTTTTTAAGGTTGGGGTTAGGATGTGTAGGGGTGCGGCTGAGGGTAGGATTGTCCGCCGGGATGAGGTTGAGAAGTGCTTGAGGGCGGCCACCGCCGGCCCCGAGGCGGCGGAGATGAAGGCGAATGCGCTCAGGTGGAAGAAGGCGGCGGAGGAGGCGGTGGCGGAGGGTGGTTCGTCTTATAGAAACATGCAAGATTTTGTGGACGAGGTTGTCCAGATTGTACGTAGCGATTGATCACGAGATTCACTAATCACTATAGATTTTTTTCACCTTTTTTGGCTGTCTTATTCATGCAAAATGTAATACGACACCTTTTTATTTAATTTGAAGTGCATTAATTTTGGAGTGTATTGAGCATTTAATGAGGTAAATTAAAAATAATTATGAAAACTGTATTTTTAAATGGTACAAAAGGATCTGATATGCCTAATTGGCCCAACCCAATGGGCCTACAAATTATTTATCTACCGGGCCACGAGCCCAATATCGAAGACTGCTATCACCGAGGCCCAATCACCTTCAAGCAAGGTTTGGGCCCGACAATCTCAACTAAGCTATAAATACACATTTGAACTCATTCGATAAGGTACGTCCTATTATCTGAGCAATACTACTAATGGTATTCTCTGGACTATTTCTATGATCAGCACGTCTGACTTGAGCGTCGGAGGGGTTTCCGCCGGATCAACCCCCGGCTTAGCTTATGTGTTCTATGATCGCAGGTACCTCAGGATCATCAAGTTGTCAAGCTACTGATCTGATTTGCTCTCCCAGTTCGTTTTCTACACCACCCTAGGTGAGCTAGTAATTAGCATCATCAGGATCATATACACGAAATTCAAACTACAAGAGATTATGGGGTTTAAGTGATATTTAGCTTAAAGTAAAAGATGAAAAGAAGGTTTATTTAAAAAATAATATTATTCTAAAAGTTTCTAAGAATTAATGATTAGGATATAGTAATTGCTCTCTAAAGTCTAAAATGCTAATCTAAATCAACACACATTGTCGTTGCACGGATACAACACGGCACCATAACTTTAGGAAAAGATGTATATTGACTTTGACATAATGTCCTTTATCTATATTTAAATATCATAATACACAAAAGGGGTAAAAAAAAAAAAAAATAGAAATAGAAATAAACCCACCACATACGTTTATGTGCATATTTTTCTTCTCAATACAGATATAACAACCCAGCCTCCATATAGTACCATTTAGTGCCAGTACCAGAGGTGTTAACAAGCTGAGCTCGACGAGTTAAATTTTTTGGCTCGAGCTCGACCTTTGAATAATAAAAATAATAATTATAATAATAATATATATATATATATATATAAAATAAATTAAATAAGAAGCTCGTGAGCTGTAGAACAACTATAATTGGGCCCGAGCTCGAGTTCGAGCTTTTGTCGAGCCAACTCGTTGAGTTCACGAGTCAGCTCAGCTCGTTTACCACCCCTACCACATACGATGTTTAAATAATGGATAACAATATAAAATATATACCCATTATCATGTTCTATATTATGAAATATGTACAATACAACAAAGGAGTAGAGAAATTTTGAATTTACAACAATACACATGATATATACCAGCAATCAATAACTGCTGCTAGAAGAAGTTCCCACGTGGGAGCTGAAAAAGGCAAGCATGCTATCATAAACATCTTCCTTTGATTTAACACTCAAAAGGAAATCAATATGCCCATAATTCTCAAGGTAAAGCAAATCTGGCTTCAATGGCAGTTCCTTGAGAGTGTGCTGTACATCTGAAACATCTGCCAATGCATCTTTGCCCCCGTAACCCATCCATATCGGCAACGAACTCGGAATTGAGCTCAGATCAAATGCCGGTGGCTTTATTTGGCTGTAATATATCAGATTTTTCCATGTCCCGTAGTCGTACATTGCAAAAGTACCTTTACGGATCACTGCAGTATAAACAGAATTTTGGAAACTTTTTCGTCGTAAAAAAAAAGGAAGCTTGCAATTGGTTTTTGAGTAAAGATGGTGACGAGACAGAGGGTATATAGAAAGGACATACTCTGGAAGAGGTGACGCAAGTTCTTAGAGGATGTGGGATGAGGCTCGAATTCGAGATAGAAATCAATCCGAGAGCTATTGAAGCAGCAATTCTCGCCTGCGCGAAAAGTAAAAAACAAAAAAAATTAAGATAGCTTCTCCTTTTTTACTAGCTAGCAGAAATTTTAAAGGAACTGTCTCTAATCCTATAACAAGAGATAAGAAAAATCAGTAAGAATCGAGTACCTGTAATAGAATTAAGCAAGTCACCGCATTCCAAGTGTCCATCGCACATCATATCCATTATCCGAGTGCCCATGTCACTGAAAAATCAGCTGAAATAAATCTTAGAAAGAGCTGGCTAATGATACGCAATGAATTGACGAAAGATCAAAATATTGTGGCACCTTTTAAAATTGAGTTCATGAATGCCCATCGCCACAATTACCTAGAAAAAAATGTAATTTGTTTCAGTATGAAAGAAACATTTCCAAACAGAAATGACTTGACGGCAGTTAACAAACCTCATCGAGATGCATTTTAACTAATCGAAGAACAAATGGAGCAGTTATATGTTCCAAGTATGATATAGGACAAAGAAGTGCAGTGGCTTCAACCATTGTTGCTATATCTGGTTGAGTTAACGCAGCCAGAGACATGATAGTTCCCTGTGTAAGTACAAAAGAAGAAAACGAAGAATTCAGATGAACAATCAGCACACTATTACACGAAAAAAAAAATTGTTGTATCGAGAGACTGAAGACCTGAGAATGTCCAACAACAAATACTTTCGAGTTTGTAACTGAATACACGTAACGAATCATTTCTCCCAGATCATAAAGAGCTAGCTCTTGCCAGCTCCAATCCCAAAAATCCTGAAAATAAGAGAATTATTGAATCAATATAATTCATAAGGGCAATGTAGGAACTTAAATTACAGCATGATAAGGGGAATCCAGGCTTCAATAAAGGACCAGAACCTAAATATAAGTTTCATTATTTCTATCTTTTTGTTACATCGACAATGTAAGAAGAACTAAAGATAAAACGTAAACCTTATCTTTCTCTGATAGAGACACATGACCATGACTCCAACGTGTCCCGCGTACATTTCCAACCCAAACATCGAAACCTTGTGTGGCAAGAATAAAACCCAATGATTGATTTGCGGAATCCATGAACCATGCATCACCAGCCTGTTTGATTATCAGAGTTACAAACGGACAATCACAAAATAGAAAACATCAGCACATAAATCTCACTTGTTTGTTCACAATTTGATCAACAATCAAAAACATGGTAAATTTAGACAAAAAAACAGAGATTTATACTATAAATACAAATACTATTGAGCGCTTTTTATACGACAAACTAAATTATAGTATAAAGAAACTTCCCCTACTACCAAGAACAACGGTTTAACCACAATTGAATATAGTTACGAATAATACATGATGGAGAAGGGAAGTAATCAAAACAAGCATTTCCGTTACGTATAATATCCATGTAAATTCATCGACTACATATATTCATTCACTAAAAAATTAAGCGAAAACAATAGTTACCATAAAAAGTCCGTGAATTAGCAAAACCGGAGAGCTCTTTTGCCCGACAATCACCGACGGAGATGAAACACGTTGAAGCCCCAATACGTATCCATCTTTGGTTTGAGTCTGGAACAATTCGTAAGATATATATCACTCTTATTAACCAATCATTCAACAAATACATGGTCTAGACAAACATGAATATGCAATATTTAATTTTACCCAATCTGAATAATATTTATTGCAGAAAATAGTTGGCAATTTTGGATTAAACAACTTCTTCACCAACAAATAGTGTAAAATCGATAAAATTAAGTGGATGGAGAATTAAATTTTGCCAGCGAACTGAGGTATTTTTGAAGCGGGAATTTCCAGTGTTTTGGGAGCAAGGAAATCCGGCAGGCATTATCACGGAAGCGCACAGACCAACTGTGGGGGACTTGGGAGGGGGGTCCAAGGCGGCGATGAGATTTCCATCCGCTTTGACGGCGGTAGATGGGAATATCGGGATGAAGAGAGCTGCCGTCAAAGCAATCGCCGCCGCCGTTGAGATTCCCATCGGACGGTGGCGGGAAGAGATTTTTCTTCCAACGACGCAGTGGAAACATTTGGGGAGTGTGGCGTGTGAAGATCGGCTGTGGGGGCTATATCATCATCATTTGATCCATTTTGGGGGTTTGGAAAACTTTTTCCCCCGCGCAGCAAAGGGCGCGTCAATTTTCGCACGTGATTTTCCTTTAGAACTGGGCCTTGCCATTTTGTATGGGATTATTCGGCCCATTTTAACTTGGGTCGGAACAATTTCAAACCCCTTGGATGAAAAAAGAGTTTTTTTAATTAATTTTTTTTGGGGTAAATAGCAATTAACCCCCTGTGGTTTGAACTTTGTGCACTTGACCCCCTTGTAGTTTCAATATAAACACATGACACCCCCCCCCCCCCCCCTAGTCTTAACTTTGAGCTATTTTACAATTGAGAAAATACAGTTTCCATCCCTCAAGTTTACATATATTCCACACTTGGTCCGCTATGTTTCCAAAACAGACATTTGGTACCTCATGTTCAAAAAAATCAATATTTTTAGTTATTCCCATCAATTTTTCGTTTGTACTAACGGAACCAAGCGTGTTCCCATGACTGCCTTAACTGACGAACTTACGGTAAATTGACGAAAATGACCAAAAGTGTTATATTATTGAAACATACATGACAAATGTGTTTTTTATAAACATAGAGAACCAAATATGAAATCAGTGCAAACTTGAGGGATGAAAACAGTAATTTTCCCTTTTACAATTACATCATAATAGCACACAAGAATGAAAATGCATTGTTCGAAGTACATATATAGTATATACTATGTGAAAGACATAGAAATACTAAAATAGTACTAGCACACTTTTACTTCAAAATTCTACAAATCTATATAATATATAAAAGTTGAATTGCATAGCTAATTGATTGACATTTGGCAATTTCAATTGATGACATGTCTTCAATTTCATCCCAAGTGGCGAATTGATTGGTGTAAATAAATCATCAATAAAACATGTCATCATTTTCTAAAATTAAAGGTAATTAAATATATTCAATTATTTTATTAATATTTATATCTTACCATTTATAAGATGCTCTAAATATATCAACTTTCTTGGAAACCCTAAATAAATTTATTTTTTAATGTAATTTTATAACTAATTTAATTTGTATTTAGTTAAATTCGATTTAAAATCTTCTCTTATTATAATTGCATAATTGGTGGTGTTACGATTTTTCTTTAATTTTAATTCATAAACTTGAATTTATTAACAAAAAATATTGCAGAATAAGTTATTTGATATTATACATTTTACATGAACATGACTAGAGAATATGTATTTTTTTACTAATTTAACATTATATATTGATATTATCTATATAATATATAAAAGTTGAATTCCGCAACTAATTGATTGACATTTGTCGATTTCAATTGGTGACATGTATTCAATTTCATCTCATGTGGCGAATTGATTGGTGAAAATAAATCATCAAAAAACATGTCACCATTTTCCAAAATTAAAAAGATATTAAATTATTTTATTATATATTTATATCATACCATTTATAAAATGCTCTAAATATATCAACTTTATTTTAATTTAATTTTAATAGTAATTAATTTAGTTTAAATTTATTTAAATTCAATTTAAAATCTTCACGTATTATAATTGTATGATTGATGGTGTTACGAAAATTTTGTATTTTAATTCATAAACTTGGATTTATATAAAAAAATATTTCAGAATAAATTATTTGATATTATATATTTTACATAAACATGACCAGAGAAAATGTTTATCTTTTTTACTTATTTAATATCATATTCGTAATTACCAAAATTTCCCTCATGTTTGTTTTCGTCTTACATCGACCCCCTTACGGTACGATTATTCACGGAATTTTTTTTTATTACGTGAAATATTCCCCGAAAAATGCAGATTCTACCCTGCACAAGACATTTGTTTATGGTACTTTTTAAAGACAAAAATTACCCTGAGTGGGACTTTACACGAAATATTTATCTTCTTAAATAACATCGCTTCACAACTTTTTAGTATTACTATTATCTCGCCTAAGGCTAATTTTGTATTTACAAAGTAAGATAACAGAAATGTCAGGTTTTTTGGATATTACATGGAATAAAAAAGATTTCGTAAACTGGGGGTACTTTCCGTAATTTAGCCTAAGTTCATGAGGAGTTTCGCAATTTATCCTATTAACAACGATTATCGTTCTTTTCACGTTTTAACGTGTGCTTATACCCTTATACAATTTTAAATAATTTTAATGTCAGCTTGATAATATAATTAAATATTAATTTCTAATATATTTAATATGTGTTTTTGATGTTTGTGGTACCACACATAAGGAATTTGATATAAAAGTTGCGAGATTGAAAAAAATGTTTTTATACAAAATAATAGATAATTGCAAACACATTGATGCAAAATCATAATTAGGATTGTGATTAGTATTAACATTAGAATTATGATTATAATTATTATTCTTTGATTTAGTATTAGTATTAATACTATAGTTAGGATTCAGATTAATATATTATTATAATTAATATTAGGATTAGGATTATCATTATGATTATGATTAATATTAGTAATTGAATTATAATTAAAATTATGATTATTGATTAGTACTACAATTAGTGACATGTATTCGTATTATAATTATGATTAGTATTAGGATTAGGATTATGGTTAGAATTAAAATTAGAATTATAATTAGAATTAACATTAGCATTAGCATTAGTATTATTAGTAATAAAATTATTAGGATTATAATTAATGTTAGAAATAGGTTTTGGATTAGAATTATGATTAAGATTAGAATCATGATTAGTGTTATGAATAGGATTAGGAATAGGATAAAATTTGGATAATATTAGTATTACAATTATAACCAGCATAAAGCAAATCCAGATTAACATTAACATTAAAATTAGTATTAGCATTAGAATATGTACATTAGCATTAACATTAACAATATTGACATATTAGTATTAAAATTAATATGAATATTAAGATTGGTATTAGTATTAGTATTAATATTAGTATTAGTATTAGTAATAGTATTAGTAATAGTATTAGTATTAATATTAGTATTAGTAATAGTATTAGTATTAATATTATTGTTAATATTAGTTTTAATATTAGTATTAATATTAATATTAATATTAATATTAATATTAATATTAGTCTAAATATCAGTATCAATATCAATATCAGTATCGATATCATTCTCGGTATCGGCATTAGTATCGGCATCAGTATCGGTATCAGCATCGGCATCGGCATCGGTATCGATATCAGTATCGGTATTAATATTAGTATCAATATCAATATCATTATCATTATCATTATCAGTATCGGTATCAGTATCAATATCAGTATCATTATCATTATCAGTATCGGTATCAGTATCAATATCAGTTTCAGTTTAAGTATTCGTATCCGTATTAGTATTAGTATCAGTATCAGTATCAACATTTGTATCAATATCAATATCAGTATCAGTATCAGTATCAATATCAATATCGATATTAGTATCACTATCAGTATCAGTATCAGTATTAGTATCAGTATCAATATCAATATTAGTATCAGGATTAGTACGAGTATCAGTATGACTGTGAGTATCAGTATGAGTATGAATATCATATTAGTATGAGTATCAGTATTAGTACACGTATCAGAGTATGAATATTAGTATTAGTATTACTATGAATATCAATATGAGTATCGATATTAGTATCAGTATCAATATTAGTATTGGTATTAGTATCAATATGAATATTAGTATTTGTATTAGTATTGGTACGAGTATGAGTATTAGTATTAGTATCAGTATTATTATTAGTATCAGTATTAGTATCGGTATTAATATTAGTATTAGTATTAGTATTAATATTTGTATTAATATTAATATTAGTACCAGTATTATTACCAATATTAGTATTAGTATTAGTATCACTATTAGTATTAGTATTAGTATTAGTATTAGTATTAGTATTAGTATTAGTATTAGTATTAGTATTATTATTAGTATTAATATTAGTATTATTATTAGTATTAGTATAAGTATTAGTATAAGTATTAGTATTAGTATTAATATTAGTATAAGTATTAGTATTAGTATTAGTATTAGTATTAGTATTAATCGAATTAGTATTACTATTGGTAACATTATTGGTATCAGTATTGATATCGGTATTGGTATCCACATTGGTATCAGTACTGGTAGTGGCGTATACATCATATTTCTTTTGCAATATTTATAAGTTTTATTGTTGTTTGAGTAATGTGCATCACTAATTGATTGTCGTTAGTGATAAAATTGCAGGTTATTTGAATAACTATTGTGTTACTTCTATGCTACTGTGTTTGTTGATACCTTAGTTATTTTGCAGAAGATTCACATGGTGTAGTAGATTTCAATCCAAGAAATAGAGTTATACCATATGTTTTAAATGATTTCACTTAATCTTGCAGAAAATTCACATGGTGTAGTAGATTGCAATCCAAGAAATAGAGTTATACCACATGTTTTAAATGATTTCACTTAATCTTGATATCGTGTTTTGCACGCTTCATGTTTTTTTAGTTGTAATATTTAACTTTATTTCATATGTTAAATCTAAATTAAGAGATAAAGTTTATGTATTTTATTTCCTTCCATTTTGTTTTACTTAAATTGGTATTGTTATAAAGAGATAGTCGTTTACGTAAATTTATTTTTCTCATTTTGAAACTGACCTCCGTACAACGCACGGGTGAAATACTAGTATTTATTTATACTTAATTATAAATAAATATAAATCCAAGCATATATAAGGCTTTTTAATTTGTTTCAAATTGACCCCGTCAATTGTTATATCTAGCTTTGTAGTCCATCCAGAGAGTGTCAACAGATTTTCCAAGCAAGTCCTCAAAGAAACCGTCACTGTAACCATCTCTCATCTTCTTGTTGAGTTCAGCAACAAAAGTCCCACTGCTGAGCTCATCACAGTAGTCAAGGAACCTGGCGGTGACGTCATACCCTTGGTCCCACCTGTCACCCTGACCCGGGGCCACCCAGTGGCTCGGCGCGTAGCCGGCTTTCAACCTCACAAAATCGGCTATCCCTTCAATCAAGCCGCCCGGCGCCTGCCCGTTTCCGTTCCACTGCCAGATGTGCGTCATTTCGTGGTATAGAACGCCGGTGATCTCTATCTTCACGTCGCCGGAGTAACCTCCGATGTACCTGCCGTCATCGGAGATTTTTTTTCAGATTATTATTTGGAAAAAAAAAATGATGTTCCCTCCTTTCCATTTTAATTGTTGTTATAGGCTAATTCACACATATTAAGAAAACTAATAATTGTGCATGGATCCTAGAAAAATCATAATAAAATGACTAAAAAACCACTTTCATAAGAATAGTAAGGGCATAATTGAGAAAAACACGATAAATACTTCATTGGAATTTTAAGGTGACAATTATTTTGAACGTAAAAAAAATCTTTATAAAGACAAATAAAATGGGAAGGGGAGAATCATATATTTATACCTGGCGCTGACGTGGATTTCATCATTGACAGCATAGGCAACCCCGTCCATGTCATCAATGAACAAGTTGACCCGGTCAATGCTTTTCCGGTCGGAAGGATTGTCCTGCTGGAATATTCCCCATATGAATGTTGTGGCGGCGTCGAGGGTTTCCAGGCTGTATTCGCCGCCGATATCCGTCTCAAATTTGGCGCCGCCGGGAGTATCTGCGGCGGTGTTGGTGACACTGTATTCCATGGCGGAGCCGAGTTGAATGGCTGCAGATAGGAATAATATTGCCAAAGAAGAGACCGTAATTAAACCTAAGTTGGCCATTTTTATTTGCTAAATAAATATTTCTTATTTTGTGAATATGTGTATGTATGTGGAGTTGCAAATATTCATTTATATATACATCTTGGAGTTTAACGTTATCCCCTTGGTTATTTTGACTTGGTCAACGTGACAACGTGGGACAGTAGCAGGAAAGTTCGTTGTGTAAGAATTGATGTAAAGTTGTGAGAAATATTATTCAATGTTTTGAAAATCGAACTAGACATTGACCGGGAACAACCGAAGTGTGAGGGGGTTTTTCTATTTTTAATTTTTAATTATATATATGTAATTTAATATGCACAAAATTACTTATTCATCACCGAGGTCTGATGCGCTTTTTCAATTTTAAATTTTAATTACGTATATGTAATTTTAATATACACAAAATTACCTATTCATCGCCCTCGTCCCATTTAAAATATACCATAAATACGTCCAATTGAATTAGTAGGATACTACTATACTACATATGTATATTAATTAGCTATTTATATGTTATTCTTTTTTTGATCTTGTGGATACACCGATAAATTAGATTAGTATTTACATTTTATTAAATAATCTTCTTAACTAATTCTTAATAATGATAGTTAGTTGTATTATTTCTAAGAGTATAGCAAGACTAATTATTTTTATTCATATAAAATTGTGTTCACAATTAATTTATACGTAAAAATAAATAATAACTATAGCGACGAATACTTGGCCTTGTACTCGCTCCAGAGCTGCCCGACCGGTTTACCGGTCAGCTCGAAAAAATAATCATCGCTATAATTAAATCTCATCATCTTATTAAGTTGTGCAACAAACCCCGACTTCGTCTCTTCGCAGTATTCCAAAAACCTCGCGGTGAAATCGTACCCTTGATCCCATTTATCCCCCGTTCCCGGTTTCGCGAAACCGGCCGGATAGTAATTCGATTTCAATATCATGTAATCCGCCATTCCTTCGCTAAGTCCGATCGGGGCCCGCCCCTCGCCATCCCACTGGAACACGTGCGTCATCTCGTGGTGGAGGAGAGAGGTGAACTCCCATTTGAGGTCGCCTTGGTAGCCCTGTAGATATATGGAGCTGACGTTGATGGTGTCGCCGTACATTATGGCCTCCGCCCCGTCGTATTGGTGGATGAACACTTTGACGGTCTCGACTTTTTTCCTGTCGGCGCCGCTGTACTGCTTGAACATGTCCCAGATGAAGAAGTTGATTGTTCGCATTATGCTTTGGGTGTAGGGGATGCCGATTTCGGATTCGAAGCGGGACCCGCCGGGGGTGGTTTTGGCGGCGTTGATGGCTTGGTACTTGACGGCGACCGTGGTCGTCGGAAAATGTGCTGAGATTTGAAGGAGTGTTAGGAGGAATAAGAGATATTGGTTTTTTTCTGCCATGGTTGTGTTTTTTTGGGGTTTCAATGTAATTTTTTTTTTTACGTTTTATTGTGTGTGAAATGTTGGTTTATGTAGTGAGGATAATTGAACTACATTTACCTAACACACCGCAGTAATTGGAATAAATTACGATTATGTGTATGTGTCACCTTATTACATGGCTAAAATACATAATTAATTGATATTTACCTTATTAGAATATTTTTGAAGTTTTATAATATGTTTAGTTATAATTAAATTTGAATAAAGCTGATAAAATTCAATATTTGACGACGAAAATAAAACGAATGGGTTCTCCCCATAATTAAAATGGGTTATTTAACATTGGACCCTACAAAAAGAAAATATTCAAAACAAGCCCAGCATTTTAAATGTTGGCAAAATCCAAGCCCAAAAGTCCAAAACAGAAGAAACGAATTTCAGTGGGGAATAAAAACAAACAGTTTGTAGGCAGAAGCCAAACTGATCAAGCAGAGCAGATCTCCTTCAGCTTACCCGCAGCAGATTCATCCACCGAGTACTGCAAATTTCCATTAACCCCAAAACATCAGATTATCAGTTTCTACATGAGAGAGAGAGAGAGAGAGAGAGAGAGAGAGAGAGAGAGAGAGAGAGAGAGAGAGAGAGAGAGAGAGAGAGAGAGACGCAGAAATGATTAAAAAGAAAAAGGCGACCTTATTGAGGATCCAGAGAGAATGCTTGTAAGTTCGGGCGAGCAATTCTTCGACGGCGGCGGAATCGCCGGGATCGACTTCTCTGTAGTTGACGAAGTTTTCGCGAGCGTACTTGGCGTAGTACGGCCTCGAATCCTCCGGCAGGCGGCGCACCAACCTCAGCACTTCCCCGTACGCTCTTAACACCTTCTGCATTTCTCTGTACACCATCAATTAATTAGCACAAATTCAACAAATTGAATTCCCCCCTACCGTTAATCTGCTTAACACAGTAGACGATTTCGCGATCGACTTCGACGAGGATATTTAAATGAAGAACGTTTTTTCTTACAAGTCAAATAGAATATTGATTTATAGGATGGTCCTATTGGGCTTCATCGATATGGGCTATTTCAGGAAATACAGTCCCACTCCCTTTAGTCACTACCTAACGATTGGAGCCCAATAATTATTATTTTATTATGTATCACGAAAACTTCAATTTTTTAACGCGCGTCTCGATAAATATTTTGTGTCCGACATTTGAGTACTTTTGTTTGACTCTTTATGAGTCATTTTGCAGTTTCTGCGAAATATGTTTGAATATCAAATTTCTAAATATTTTTGTTGCTTCACTAATTATTTACATTATTTAATGATCAATTGCAAATTAATAGTTTATAGTAAAAAAATTATATTTGTTTATATAGCATATTTATAAATACACCTTTATACTTCTAATATTTGTACATTTCCCCCAAAATCTCGTATCTCCATTTTTGAAACATGTCGTGTTCCGTATCGTCATTTCCGTGTCCGTACTGCATAACTATTTTCATTAGAGCTAGAGTAAATATATTTGATCACATAAATCAATATAAATTGGTTTGCGTGGTATGAAATGTACAACGTTGTTGAATTGGGTACAATTAGGTACATTGTTCACGAGTTGACCGTTCACCCAGGACTTTAATTTGTTCGCTGCGTGCAATGCTATACACCGCTAGTAATATTTGCTTTCTACCAATTTATGTCACAGCTACACACTCTAAGTACATTTATATTGATATAAACAGATATTTTTCTTTTCTAATTAGTTTCTCATATTTTTTTTTTTAAATTACTCTTTCTTGGGGATTTTTTGTTTGTAATGTAACAATTTATTCTGCAAAAATAAAAAGAAAGACGAAAGTAATGTTTGTTTACTATTGTACAAATCATGATATGTCTATTTTGTATACATATGTAATATTTTAGTAAGTAATATTATAATAATGATTCAGGCCATTCATTAATTTATTTTTATTTATTTGCTAAAAAACATATGGTAGAATGAATATAAAACAAAAATGATGCATGTAGATACATATCTCCAGCATTTAATACATCCAAGATGTAACCCTCATGAATTTCCTTCTTTCTCAGCGGACAAAAAAGCCACCACCGTGTTGGCATTCTCTCCGCCACCCATTCTCTGTATAAATCCGCCCTCCCTCCGCCACTTCTATATCCCACCACACTCACACTTACACTCAAAAAATCATTCAGGAAACAAAAAATGGATATCTGGTCATGGATATCTGACCTTACCAACTCGGACGAGTTGAATTATTCTCAACTCACTTTCCAACTCGCTTCTTCCAGCCCGAGTTCATACAAGAACAACGATTCGACTCAGTCGATTCATCTCAGAGCCGAGCGCACCCTCGGCTCGAACTCCGAACCCTCGGTTGTCTTCTCCGTTTGTCTCCGAGGGTTTCAGTGTTCTTCCTCTGAAGATGGAGATGAAAAGATCATCTGGTCTTCCGACACGTGTCCTCTGTCCTCCTCCGACGACGACAGATCACCCACCTTCTTGCCGCTCGTACTTCAGCTCCTCCAGGAAATCGTGACGCGTGCGCCCAACGCGCACGATAGCACCTGCCCACGTTCGCAGCTCCAGAAGCTGAAGCCCGAGCCGGTGTCGTGGATACTCGACTCCCACTCGCCCGAGTCCTTCTCCAGCTTCTTCAGCCTCATCTTCCTCACGCGCCTCTTCTGGACGTGCGTGTGCGACGCGCCGTCGGAAGTCGGCTGCTTCTACTTCCACTCCATGCTCACCCCCAACCTCGAGGGCTTCTCGTGCAAGCACGCGCCGGTGCTGCGGAACTTCTTCCTCACCGTCGGGACCGACGTGGAGCTCTGCTTCGTCCGCACCTTCGGGTACATGTTAGCAAAGTGGCTCATTTTAAAAGACGTCGAAGCTGGTTTGAAATCTCTGACGCTTTTGCCCTCCAAGAATCTCGGATTCTCCTACGCCGTCGAGTCTCACGGGCTGTGGATCTTGAAGGGCTACTCTCCGGTGAAATCCATGCAGTGCATGCAGTCGTCGTCCGGCCAAAAAAATCGCCAGTTCCCTGGCGTGATCGAGGCCAGAGAATCCCTGCTGAAATACGCTTTAGCCCACCAGCAACTCGAGGCTGTAATCCAACTGGAGTACACCGTTCGATTCTTCGATAACTTCATCCAAGTCAACGCGCGCGTCGACAATATAAGAATCCACGTGGTGAAATTAGGGTTCAAGAATAACTCGGATAACGATCAGAATCTCGCGGACGAGAAACATTTCCCATCGAGGATCCGCGTATGGGTCGGGCCGGAAATCGGGGCGGGCTACGTTGGCGGGCTTAGCCTGGCCCGGTCCACGGACAACACGGAGAGAGAAATGGAGATGCAAAAGACGTTGAAGGGTATAACTTCCGGAAATTCAAAGGTCCCGAGTGTGACAGAGACAGCGAAGATGGCGACGAGGACGAAGATCAAGAACTGGAGGTGCGAGCAAGACGTGGAAGGAAACGCCGCCGTTTTCGATGCGATTCTATGCGACAACACCACCGGGGTGGAGATCGCCACGTGGAGGCCTCCCGTCGGCGGCGGGGGCGGGGTGATGGGGCTCAACTTCCGGGGCAGGTACACGGGAAGTGGCCGGCCGTTTACGAAATCAGGCGGGATGATATTCGCCGGCGAAGAGTACGGCGAAGGTGTGGGGTGGAGGCTGAGCAAGGAGATGGAAGGGAGTGTGCTCAAGTGGAGGATTGGTGGGGAAGTTTGTGTGACCTATCTTCCTAATGACGTGGCATGTTCTTACTATGAGACAAGGTGTATTGAGTGGTGTGACGAGGTTGATTTGCCCTTGATTCCTAGTAAAACTTGAGACTTTCTAATATATCTTTTATTTATTATTCTTATATTATAATGTACTTTGTTGTAATATAATTATTGGACGTGTACATAAATAAATATAATTAAACTAGGGGGAAATTCAGGCTATGTTTGGAAGTGTTTTGGAACTTATTTTGATTTCATTTTGAGAAAATATGTTTTGGGTAAAGAATTTGAGAATGAAAGTAATGTTTGTTTATATTTTGGAAAGAGACAAAATATACTGTAGCAGTCAAATCATGTTTAAAGGTGTTAGAAAAATGTATTTTAGAAAAAAAAATTGAAAGATGAAGTGATGTTTATTTGTTTTTTAGTGAAGACATTTTCACTGTAGCAGTCAAATCATTTTACTGTAGCAGTCGCATCATGTCTGAAGGAGAGATAACTTTTTTATATTGTTTTGAGAAAATGATTTGAGAAGAGTAATTAATAAAATTTTATTTTGGGGAATCAATGAAAACAAAATGGAACCACTTCCAAACATTGCCTCAATTTTCATCCATCAAGTGTGGTCCTTCGTGTTTGAGTAATTTAACACTTTTGGTCGATCCCATCATTTTACCGTTAGTCTGTAAAAATTGGGTAGCCATGCAAAAATTGGGCTGAATTTGGGCCAATTTTTATATTAAACTTATGTTGATTAACCAAAGGCCCAATATATATATATATATATATATATATATATATATATATATATATATATATATATATATATATCCACTTTTAATTATTTTTCTAGGCTCAATTATTCATTAGCTTGCTTAACATTGATATAATAATAATAATAATAATAATAATAATCGAGACCAATTTGAATTTGAAAATTCAAATACATATTTTTGTTCGATAAGTTATGAGGATTCCTCGCACGGGGTATCGATCAGGAAAAAAAATGACAAAAGAATACTCGAGATTGATTCATTTGATTAAAGTTCCTTTAACTTCGACATGGTCGCTTCTGAAACGGAGCTCAAATAATTTTAAATAAACTTCCGCTCGACTCGAGTCGGCTCAATTGATTTACACTGCTACGTGGCAATAGGACGATGGGGGGACTAATTTGCGTGGTTAGAAAGCGCGTTTTGGATCTCATGACAGCTTATCCATCAAATCTTGCATCCTTAATTCCCACACTACGGGCATCTTTGGTTTGGGGTATTAGAAGGGACGGGATTTGTTGTACCATTATGTACGATGTTTGGTTCGCTTGACGAAGTCATCCTTGATAGATGGGCCCACTGTTTTAATACCCCATTCGAATTATTAGTTGTCAAGCCAAAATTGGCTTGACAACTTATCAGGTATTGAATCCCATTTTCTTGGCCGTGTGCAATGTCGAAAATAACCTTAGAAAACACATCAATTACAAAATTAATAGGTATAAATAGTAGAATCCTCATCTTCTTCTCTCTTCCACCGTGCCCTAGTTTTTTGCAGGTAAAATCTCATGCCTTTCGTTTTTTTCACAATCTTCATCTTTTGTCTCGTTTCTGGTGCTAAACCCTTGTATTTTCACAAATTCGAGGTTATCGTCGGCATTGTAACTGAAGTGGAAGGTTGAGCAGTCGGCTGCTGCTAATTGTTACTGACATAAGGTACATATTTCATTTTCTTAGATATTTCGCTCTCAATACGGTTGAATCAATGGGTATACAATTGATTTACCTGTTGGTGTAGGGTTTCGCTATTGGGTATACAGGAGGCACCAGATTTGGAAGACGGCGGAAAAATCGGGGTAAATATGACCTCTTCACACTCTTCTGCTTGTACTGTTTTTTTATTAAAACTAAATCCTTCAGTTTCATTGATAATAAAAGTTGCTATTAGGTTGACAAACCCCATCGCATTTGGTTGTAGGTAATTTCTTCGAAGTTGTTCGCGACCACTTGTACACTTTTATAATCTGCAAGGTAAGCCACTTCTTACCCAACTTGTTTTCGTGCGTTTTATAAATTTTGTGGTGTATATGCTTATGTGAGCATTGGAATTTGGGTGAAAACTGTTCTGCCAGTGGTATGCTGGGTAAACCTAAGTGAGCATGTTGCTTGGTTCCCCTTTTACATTTCACTTAGTTATCATTTCTGTTACAAGGATGAATATTATTACAGGTAAATAATTTATGGGTTTTATTTTGCTTAAGAAATTTAATTTTGTGGTATAAAATCTCAGTGAACATAGTTTACAGTATAATATTAGACATTCAAAAAATTGGTTGCTTGCATAATTTAAAAGATTTTCAGGTTCTACGATCACTAAGGTACACTGAAAATTGAAACTTGAGTGTTGATGTTAATGTAGGAGATAGGTTGGTTTGCGATGGATTTTTCAAAACAAGAAGAAGATGTAGTTGTTCTACACCAACTCATGTTCAATCTGAGGCTGTTTTTTTTGGTGTCTTTACATGTATTTGGTAAAAAAAATCGTCGTTGTTTGTCTCGCTGTAACAATAACAGCAGGACTTATAGTTTGACATCCCGCACCCCTTCACACCTCAACTATTTGCGTTCAATAGTTGGTTTAAACGATGTAACATGTCGTGACAACCTTAGAATGAACATACAAACTTTTTATCGACTATGTTACATTTTAGAAAATGTCGGCGGTCTTAAAGCAAATAGAAATGTCTCTATACCCGAACAAGTTGCAATGTTTCTTCAAATTTTAGCACACCACACAAAAAATGTTGTCGTTCGAAGTCATTTTAACAGATCCGGGTATACTGTAAGCAAGCACTTTAACCGCGTCCTCCTAGCTTTGCTTAAGTTACACGAAATGTTGTTAATCACACCGAAACCTGTCGACGACGGCTGTGAAAATGAGCGTTTTTCGCACTTCAAGGTAACCTAATATCAACCAAATAATCTGAGTACTATGATACGCAACCGTAAAATGTTTAAATAATCACCTTATTATGGTATCATATTTACTAGGGCTGTCTAGGTGCACTAGATGGGACATACATAGGCTGTCGCGTTCCTTATCTTGATAAGCCGAGGTATAGGAATCGCAAGGGTAATGTATCGATCAATGTGCTAGCCGTTTGTGATGATAACATGAACTTTGTATACTTACTTACTGGGTGGGAAGGGTCTGCAGCCGATAGTAGAATACTTCGAGATGCGGTAACTCGAGATAATGGTCTACGAGTCCCCACGGGTATGTATTAGTTTGTAGAGTACCAAATTACGTCATTTAAACTTAACTTCGGAATTACCTAGGACGTGTGAAAGTCAATTACAAATGTAGTAAATCCTTCAACTTTACAGGTAATTACTACTTGGTTGATAACGGTTATACGAACGGAGAAGGTTTTTTGGCACCGTACAGAGGTTGTAGATACCACCTCGATGCTTATGCGCACGGTCCAACCGCACCTAGAAACTTTAGAGAATATTTTAATATGAAACACGCGAAGGCAAGAAACATAATCGAGCGGGCGTTTGGTCTTTTGAAGTCACGATGGGCCATATTACGCAGCCCGGCATATTACCCTATCAAGGTACATAACCGGATCGTAATGGCCTGTTGTCTGCTGCATAATTTTATACGAACCACCAACGACTTCGATCCGGAGGAAGAAACTTTAGATGAATTTTTCCGGAAAAATCCAGGCATTATTAGTGGAGAAGATTACATTAACACTGTTGAGAGTTCGGACGAGTGGACTGCGTGGCGGGATTCTATTGCTATTAACATGTACAATGAGTGGTTATTGTCTAGATAGATAATGAATACAATTCTCTTTCTTTACGAAACCTAATGTATTTCGTTGTGTGTTTATTTCTACGGTACTTGGATTGTTATGTCTTTACAAATTCATAGTCAACTGAAAATTTAATATTGACTTGGTGTAATTTGAATTACTGTTTTTTGCCCTACAATCGGTTGCCTAATTTGTATATAATTCAGGTAATATGGATAGTAATGCTGTCCCGAAAAAATGTTCTACTAGCAAAAACCACGTGTCCAACAGCAGGCGTTGTTGGACAGTTCTTGAAGAGCAAACCTTAATTTTGGGGCTCAAAGATATTGTGTCGAGAGGTTGAAAATGTGAAAATGGTTTTAAGACCGGTTTTTTGGGAACCCTTGAACAATTTATGGTTCAGAAATTTCCGGGGACCGATCTTAAAGCAACACCTCACATACATTCCAAGATACACGTGTGGAAAAAACACTACGCATCACTAAGCACCATGTTGTCAAGGTCGGGATTTGGTTGGAATGACTCCAACAACACCATAGACGTCGTTGACGACCAGGTGTGGCAGGATTACATCAAGGTAATACCTTCTACTCATTAGTTCAAAAATCTTTTCACTATTATGTAATAATAACAATTTTATATAATTGATAATGGTCAATTGGTATACGTGTATGAACATAGACGGATGCGAGCGCCCGTTCAATGCGTTACAAGTCGTGGCCGTTTTATAAGGATTGGGCGCAAATATTCGGCAAAGATCGTGCAACCGGTGAACATGCTGAAGCATTTACTGAAGCAATCAACGATTTGGTGTCGAACTCCAATAAAGGAAAAGAAAGCGTGCCAAACGATGACGAGGAAGTTCCGCTAACAGATCCTTCAAATGCTGACAATTACTCTCAATATATGTCTTTCAGTCGAATTGACGAGGCGACTTCTGCGAAGAGTAAATCAAAGTCTAAAAAACGGCCGCGTAGTGATGCCATCGATACTGGCTACGCCGAGATGGCGTCAAAATTCTTCGAGAAAATGGAGGTCCAAATGGCCGAATTGGTGAGCCGTATGGGGTTCGAGAAAGATGTCTCAGCGGCAAGGAAACGAGTATTTGATGCCCTAGAAAACATGCCGAATCTTACTTTCGAGGAGAGGCTCAAAGCAACTTCCCGAATATGCGATAATGCCAAAGATTTAGATATATTCTTCTGCCTTAGTGATGAGCACAAATCCAACATGGTGCAGTTGATTCTAGATGGCCGGTACTAATAACCGTGCCCAAGTTTTAATATATATGTTAATTCATCCCGCACCCTTATAACTGAGATTGTTGAATTATGTTTATTTGTTGTTTTGTAATCTACTATCGAGTGATGTGAAACTAATTTGACAACAATGTTTGCTATATTTTATGTTATGTAATTGTGTTGTCTAACTACAGCTGCAAATAGTATTAAATCTATACTACTCGTTATTTGGAATTTGCGTTTTCTTAAACCTAATAAAACCACTGTTTCACTCTTCAAATATCCAAATGCAGCAACAAAAACCATACAGAGGTATGTCAATAACAAAAGCCAATAGTGATTAAATATAAGAAGATAAAAAAAAAAACCAACAACAAACACATAATTTATAGACCTTCAAAAGGACTAATCCAAACCCCGAACTATATTACCTAAAGACAGAATCCCTAACTTACGTGCAACACAACATAATAAACATCAAAATAAAACACATACAAATACACAAGACATATTCCAGTTTGTCTGTGCGCCAAAAATATATAATTTTTTTTTTTTACCGGCCAAACTTGTAATCACCTTATTTGTTTGCTGGGGTTAAGAAGTTTACCGGAGACGGCTTGTTAGAGGCTGTTGAGCTCTTGGGAGTTCCGTACTGGTTGAATTTCCTTATGTTCTCTGATTTTGACCGGAGTATTGTGGTTCCATGAATCTCCGTAAAATTGTCAGCGTGGCGTGAGTTTGCTGTACTCAACTCAGTGTCTCTTGAGCAATCTGAGTCAGAAATATAGTTGAGGTAACCTAGCATATCGAAGTCAGCGTTATCCGAAGAGTCCGACGAAATGTTTATGACATAATGCTGTTCGTTAGGGTGCATGTTAGCGAATTCTAGCTCGGCGACTGCCTCGAACGCATGTGCGTTAATTCCTAACCGGTCAACTCCATCGTCACGGCCCGGAACACCGGAGCAACCAACTCCTTCAGTGTCGGTTATGTTGTCATCAGATATCAATACAACCACTTCTTCTGCCGCGTTGGGGTCTTGCACGGGGTCGGGCCCGAATATACACTTCAATTGATTGTACTTAAGCTCTCCAGAACCGCGGTAAAAATATGCGAAGTTACTCATCTGAATATTTTGAGAAAATAACCATGTAGATGTTAGAAACTGGTTAACGTACAAACTTCGGACTCTAATTGTTTTTACAATTAAATATTCATAAAATTGAAAATTAAATGTTTATAACGGTAATGTTAACCTTCAAAATACGATCCCACACTTCTTCAGTTGTTGAAATGATATTAGTCGTTTGATTGTAACGAACACCGTCTTGAGCCAGTATCCAATGGAATGTATAAAACCTTTTCCGAAGCATATTCACTTTCTTAGTGAGGTGCTTGTACGAGAAGAATTTGTTGAACTTACTTTGAAGAGCCTCTTGGCAGCTAAACAAGGCAAGCGTATTTTTTCCATCACGTTCAAAGCACCCCCGATATGATTCCACAGCTAGAAGATCGATGAAATAATCATCGACCTTCTCACTCCATTCCAGCTCATACATGAAATCTTCGCGTCTAAAGATTGGTTTCTTCTTTGGTGCCATGAATCAATGTGTATTTTGCAAGTAATGGGATTTTTTTTTATAATCCACCACACCCGATTGGTTGGTATTTAACATACATTTTCAGAAACCCTAACGGATGAAAGCATTGAAACCGTAATTAATGAAAGTTGGTGTTGGTTATACTTCACGTACAACTAAATGCTGAAAAGAATGTTGAAGTTCAGTACGGGTACATTCAATCTGACCACTAAAAAAGAATGTCAACTTCTATTAATTAAATTTCTAAAAATCTGAACAAAGCATTATCGGCTACTGTGTTTGTATTAGTATCTGTTCATATAGGCTTCATTTAATGAAAAAATTCACACCTCAATCAATCATCATTAATAAGACTTTTCACTACAAAATTAATAGGTTGAGTGCTATAGCCATTGAAGGCATTAATTGTGACCTAATATGGTTTGGTGGAGTTATTGAATATGAAACTTTTCATATTCCAGCCCTAAAGACTGCCGAAAAGCCATTAATTGGAATGGTAGTGGTTGTGAATTAAATATATAGAACCTATTTGCTTCTTATTTTCGAAAATAAAGAAAAAGAGTTAAAAAAAAAGGTGCAATACAGCCTCTTTAAAGAACTCAGAAGGAAAAACAGGTTGTAGTTGGTGTCATCGGTGAAATCAGTCAGATCTGAGTATGTAAGTATTTGTATAATACCTTTAAATGAATTTTATTGAATTCGTTCTTTGTGTTTTTTGTTCATAGCATGCCGATGCCCCGAACGAGATTAACCCTCAATCGTGGCCGTTAGAGTACGACGAATGCCTTATGGATGCCGCGGCTTCGTATGCAGTTGAAGTTGAAACTTTGAATGATCCCGAAGTGTATGACGAATGTCTGTTCGTATGCTACATCAGCTTGGCCTTTCAGTTCTCGAACAACTTCGACGACATTCAAACCAACCGTAGGATGGATTGGCTTAGGAATCGTTACTTTCGATTTAAGGAGTACATTGCAAAGCCAGGTGTGACGTTTAATGTGAACACAAGAAAGGTGACAGTTGACAGGAGTTTTTGGCCAGTCACTCTCAAGGTAATTGTACTGATTTTGTTGAAATTTTAATTAATTTAAATTATTTGTGGGGGTTATTTTATGTGATAATATTCTGCATGAATGGATTCGTAACCGTGGGATGAAACACTGTAATTACATTAATCCCAGCCACACTATCGACCTTTATAAAAATGTGAGCTGTTAATTCGAAGTTGCATCGATTACGGCGTTCGCTTAGTTATGTAGTGCTCGTTTTGTATTAAGATTTTTAAAACTTGTACTTTACAACACTGACTGTGCTCATAATATTTATGTGTTATTATTATCATATTTTAAATGGAAGTTATTACATGCCTATTAATTGCATGTTATTTATTTAAGTTTTTTTGTAATTGTGGGATTTGTAGGAGACGGTGGAGGAAAGGACATTTAGGATCAACGGGTTTCCGTTGTTTGAAGACTGTCATTTCGTGTTTGATGTGAAACACGCACCCGCCGTCGACTTTCGAGGTGTTGAGGGGTATGATCCAGACTACCCGGTTGTCATCCACAATGACGACGATGACGAACAGGTAGATGTTGCCGTTGAAGCTAATCCACCTCCAAATGCGCCCATAGTTGTCGACCCGCACTATGCAATCTACCTGGATGACCTCTATAATCACCTTCGTATTGAACGTGGTAACAACGGTGCAAACAACAACAATGGAAACGAGGCAGGTGGAAATGAAGCCGCTGAACCGGCCGTTAGTTTCAGTGACAATATGGAAACGTCCGACAACTCCGAAAGTCTTTGAGCACTTCAGAATTAATGACCTTAAATGCAGCTTTCGGGATGCATTATTTGTGTTTTTTGTTGTTCACGTTGGGATGTTTTGCTATGTATTAAGACCTCGTATTATTTGCTATGTTTTTTTCGATTTCGAAATTTTTTGGATTTCGAATTATGTTGTTTGTACTATGTTTTTTGTACTATGTTTCTTTGGATTTCGAATTATGTTTTTTGTACTATGTTTTTTGTACTATGTTTCTTAAAAGTTTCTTCTAATTACATTGAAGGTGCATTTTTTCACAGACTTGTAGTATCCCAATTTTTAAAAAACACTGGACATGGAATATGCTATTCTGTCTTGCAGTACAGGAATTTGCAATGGTATCTGGGCTTCTAGTGCATTTATTTTCTTGAGCAAACCCGGAATGATACGTTTGGATCGTTCACACATTGCCGGATCATACCAGTAAAAGACCCGACAACCATTGACCTAATAGCAGTACGAGCAATTAAAAATGGAGTCAAAATAATTTTACAAGTACTTTCAGCAGCTCAACAAATGTAACCGACAATTTACCACGGCAATTAAACATAACAAAACACGTAATTAAAGATAAGAAAACACCTGGAACCATTAAGATGTACAGTAAAACGCAAAAAAATTACATATAACCTTTCAAAACCTATGCCGAATGCCCAAATAGCAGTACGAGCAATTAAAGAAGGGGTCAAAATAATTTTACAACTACTTTGAGCAGTTCAACAAATGTAACCGAAAATTTACCCCAGCAATTAAACATAACAAAGCATGTAATTAAACATAAGAAAACACCTGGAACACCAATTTGTAACTAGTTACCATTGCCTCAAACATTTTACAACTTATCCAATCCATGAATTATATTACCACAGGGGAAAATGAAAGGATCGTTTTTTTCGAAACAATGTGACAATAAGTCAGCAAATCAATGGCTAGCCTGATTAGTGTCTCTGTTAATTTAAAATCAAGACCCAAATTCTCAGAAAATATGAAAAAAAAAACTAATAGCAAAAAAACCACAAGATTAAAATAAAAGGGGTTCTGGATACATACCCGCTCTGCGCAAGAAAGGAAACGACGACCTGGATTGGCAGAAGTCCAAGAAGTTTGTAAACGGAGCTCGTTGCCGCAATCACAGACATCGTGTTGCACCCCGTATGAACTGAAATCCTCACCGCCTTTGTTTCGCGAATTCTTTCGGGAATTGACGCTGGTGTAGCTCATAACAATATACGAACATACAACAGCCGTCAATAATTGTGATCCTGCGGAAAAAAAAATTAAACAAATAAAAGGAGCAAATTTCAGCAAATAAATTAGGGTTTCCTCCTTAGAAGATTGAAGCCCAAATCAACGAAGAAGAATGAGATGAGGGGATGGGGGGGAATGTATTATATTTTAATAAATGTAGGAAAAGGGGCAAACCAGTAATTTTACCTAACAAACTCATAGAAAACTGTGTTATCACCCAAACAAAACATGATATTATTATTCCATGTATTATTAGTTTCTCTCCAGTAACTCAAACCAAATAATGTATTAGTCACTGTGAATCAACAATTTAGTCCAGTGTACCATATCCCATCCATAGCTATCTATCAAAACCTTCGAACCAAAAAGGCCCTACATGTACTATCTTTAATTAGTACAGTTAAGAAGTAGAACTAGTATTTAAGACCCCAGATTGCAATTATTTATTGTCCTAATCTCATTTATGTTACTATTAGTATTATTATTTGTTGTTGTGGTGGTGTAAGAATCCCAGAAAGATTTGGTGCAGTCGAGGTAATAACTGTTGTGGAAAACTGTCGGTGTGAGATTGAGGTCATGATCTCATCATGACATCACCACCCCTTGCTTCTTGTTATTCCATTTAATTAATTAATTAATAATTACCATCCATTATTGTTCTTCTCGGGAAATTGCGTTTGTTAATTTTTATTTTAATCAAAAATGATTTTCTTTGATCTCTCTCGAGAATGTCATCATCAAGCTTAATATGCATGTATAAGAAAATTATTTGTTATTCTACGCAATTTTTTTGACCAAGCACACAAAGACCGATATCAATAGATGGATCAATAAATAATAATGATAAGGGATTTACAATAAATGTAAACCTTAAAAATTCAAGATTTTTATTTTTAATAAAGTTCATCATATAGTGTAAATGAGCCAGTACGATAAAAGTTCGAGCTCGAGCTCGAGCCCGCCCTTAAATTAGTTGTTCATAAGTTCACGAGTTTTTTTATATTTTATTTTTTATTCATAACCTTCTTTTTAGATTATAAATATTTTTAATAAAATATAATATTATTATTATTATGTAAAAAATAAAAGAATAATCAAATAAGCTAAACTCGAGTTCTAGCTCGACAGACTCAACTCGACTTGAGCTCAATCTCGAGTTCAAGCTCGACAGACTCAACCCGGCTTGAGCTCTAGCTCGAGTTCGAACTCATAAAAATGAAAGCTCAACGAGCTCGAGCTCGAAAAAATCTGGTGACTTTGACTCGAGCTCGACTCGTTTACACCCTAAGTTCATCGTAACAAAATTAGATTATATTACTATAAAATTATCAACTTTTGATTGAAACATGGATATTTTGTTGACGGCAGTCCACTAAACAAGCTCACATTCGAAGAGTTTATTAACCAATACAGCATGTTTAGTCGATAATTAACATGAAATGGTAGAGGATCAACATAAGAGTACATAATTATAGTATTTATACATATAGTCAGTCATTTGATGTATGTTTAAAAAACAAAGTAATATGCGTTCATGCAAAAAGAATGAATTTTTTAACAAAAAATTCCCAACAAGAAATTAAATAGCCAAGTCCCATGAAAAAAATCCACCATTGGTCCACAAATGAGGCATGTCTGGGTAAAAGCTCCGCCTACTGCACATGCCTTTTTTGCAACATTAGAGAGAGAAAGATAGAGAATCCGGGTGGGTGGGCCCCATCTCATTACACCCAAATCAAAATGGCTGTCATCTCTTCACATCCCATTTTACCACCGCCCATTTGCTCAAGGGGTACTCGCAATATTTTTTTGAAGTATAAATACAGAGCCGAAGATTTGCCTACCCAAAAAGGGTTTTGCATTTCAAGAACCGAGTTTCTATAAAAAAAAAAAAGAAAATTAAAAAGTTGAAATTTTTATGATGATAGTTCCAAAAGGGTTTTCTGTATTCTTGTTTCTTGTTTTTGTTGTTGTCGTCCAGTCAACATTTTCTGTGGGTTTTCCCGTGAAAGATAGTGACGTGTGGAGTTCGAGTTTGGAAGAAGACACAAGTACGAGGTTTAATAATCTCGAGGTCAGGTTCAATGCGCCTGCGAAGCACTGGACCGATGCTCTGCCCATCGGCAATGGCCGCCTCGGTGCCATGATTTGGGGTGGTGTTGCTAATGACACCATTAATCTCAACGGTAATAAAAAAAAAAAATTTATTTTTATTTTTTTATAATTTTTTTTAATAAATAAATTTTCTTCACTTTGTGCAGAGGACACACTCTGGACAGGGACACCTGGCGAATATTCCGGCGCCGGTGCTCTAACCGCCTTATCGGAGGTCAGAAAGCTCGTCGATAACGGCTTATACGCAGAGGCTACTTCAGCTGCACTCAATTTATCCGGAGAGCCCTCTAATGTATGTTTTGCTTATTTTACTTGAATTTTCAATTTTTAAATTTAATGAAAAGAGCAATGGATGATGATGAAATCAAAGCAATTTTGTTCATGTTTCGAAAATGCCGAATGCGGAATTATATTTGGATAAATGTTTACAGGTTTACCAGCTCTTGGGAGACATAAAACTCGAATTCAGTGATTCTCACGCAGCGTATATCGAAGAAACTTATCGAAGAGTACTTGATTTAGACACTGCTACAGTAACAATGCAGTACTCGGCCGATAAAATCGAGTACACGAGGGAGTATTTCGCATCGAAACCCGATCAAGCAATTGTGATAAAGCTCTCGACGAACAAAACGTCGTCGCTGAATTTCACTGTCTCTCTAGACAGCAAATTGCACCACCACTCGTACGTAAACGCCAAGAACCAAATCCTTCTAGAAGGTTCTTGTCCCGGCAGAAGAATCCCGCCTCAAGTATACGGAAACGAGAATCCAACGAAAAGAAGCCCGTTTTATTCGGAAGACGAAAATCCCAAAGGAATCCAATTTTCATCCGTTCTTGATTTGCAGATTAGTGACAGTGCGTGTGATCTTGGTGTTGTTGACGGTAGAAAGTTACAGGTGTCCGGCTGTGATTGGGCAGTTATCCGTCTCACTGCGTCGTCGTCGTTCGACGGGCCGTTTACTAATCCCGTTGATTCGAAAAGGGATCCTGGTTTAGAATCTTTAAATGCGATGGAATCTGTGAAAGGATATTCCTACACGGATCTTTACGCGCGACATGTAAATGACTATCAAGAACTTTTTCATCGTGTCACGTTAGAACTTTCTAGAAGCTCAAATAGTAGCACGCGAAACGAGGTCGAGGTGATTACTACTGCGCAGAGGGTTAAGTCTTTCAAAACATACGAAGATCCTTCAATGGTGGAGCTTCTATTCCAATACGGCAGATACTTGTTGATTGCTTGTTCACGACCCGGGACTCAGCCTTCGAATCTTCAAGGAATTTGGAACAAGGATATCGAACCTGCATGGGAGTATGTTCTCGTTTTTTTTTTTTTTTATTCAATACATTTTCTCCGATTTTCCACTATAAATCGTAATTTTTTTCTTGTTTTTTCCAATATTTAGTGGAGCTCCTCACTTGAATATCAATATACAAATGAACTACTGGCCTTCGTTATCTTGCAATTTAAAAGAGTGCCAAGAGCCTTTATTCGACTACATCTCGTCTCTTTCCATCAACGGAAATAAAACCGCAAAGGTGAAGACCTCGTTTTTTCTCCAAATTTTAATTTATTCATCTTACATTTTCTAATAAAGAATTAACAAATTTCATTTTCTTGAAAACACTAATTTTTTTTAAATACAGGAAAAAAAACATTAGTATTATTTAGCTTGTACAAATTTAATGCATTTATGTGCAGAATGTTACAGGTGAACTATGGAGCAAACGGTTGGGTTGCGCATCAGGTATCGGATATATGGGCCAAAACATCGCCCGATCGCGGTCAAGCTGTGTGGGCCCTTTGGCAAATGGGCGGTGCTTGGCTTTGTACGCACTTATGGGACCATTACACCTACACTATTGACAAAGTAAGAAAAATTAAATCTCTCGATTTTCTTGAAATGCAATGATTTTATAACCATTTTAGAAAATCTTGCAGCTTTTCGGAATTTAACGAGACGAATTGCTTATGTAATTTTTTATTTTATTTTTAATGTAGGAGTTTTTGAGGAACAAAGCATATCCGTTAATGGAAGGTTGCGCTTCGTTTCTACTGGACTGGTTAATCGAAGGGCGTGGAGAATATCTCGAAACTAATCCATCGACTTCGCCCGAGCATATGTTTACTGCTCCCGATGGTAAACTCGCGAGTGTTAGCAATTCATCCACCATGGACATGCAGATTGCGAGAGAGCTTTTTAACAACATCGTTTCAGCTGCCGAGGTAAAATAATTTCTTTTAATTTTTTTTATTTAAATTGCAAATTAACTATCATGTTGAGGTAATTACGAGTCAATTGAGTTCCTAATTGATCAAATGTAGGAGCTGGGGAGAAGTGACACTGATTTGATTGCAAGAGTTCGTAAAGCTCAGGTGCGTCTTTATCCGACAAGAATCGCAAAGGATGGTTCCATCATGGAATGGGTGAGCTGGCGTTTTTTTTTTCATTTTCGTGTTGATAATAAAAATATTGGATTGCTAGAAAAAAATAATTTTCTTTCATTTATAACGAGCAGGCGCAAGATTTCGACGATTCGGATACGCACCATAGGCATTTGTCACATCTGTTTGGCTTATTCCCGGGGCACACTATCAATGTCGAACAAACTCCCGATTTGTGTAAAGCAGCAGAGTATACCTTATATAAACGAGGTTTCCGATTCATCATTAAATAAAAAAAAATAGATTTTTTTTCTTCTTCAATATTCATAATTGAAGTGTTTTGTTATGGAATAGGAGAGGAGGGTCCAGGATGGTCAACGACATGGAAAGCGGCACTGTGGGCACGCCTGCATAACTCCGAGCATGCATATAGAATGGTGAAGCATATATTCGATTTGGTCGATCCCGAACACGAAAGTGATTTCGAAGGAGGGCTATACGCCAATCTTTTCACTGCTCATCCACCTTTCCAAATTGATGCAAATTTCGGGTAATTTTTTTTCCAAATTTTGAGAATTCAAAATTTGTGTTATGTTGTGCAGTGACGGAGCCAGCATAGGGTCAGGGGGGCCATGGCCCCACCAACATTTCTCAAATCCCTATTATTTTATATAGAAAAATAAATAAAAAAATCGTGTACAATAGCATTAACACCCCCCGCGCCCCCAAGATTTTTTGTTTAATGCAGTGATTTTGCAAAAGCGGAAAAACTCGAACATAAAAAAATATTCTGATTATACAATTTTTTTTTTGTTTATGGTGAAAGGTTTTCGGCAGCAATAGCAGAAATGCTGGTTCAAAGCACGGTGAAAGACCTGTACTTGCTTCCGGCACTTCCACGTGATAAATGGGCTAACGGCTGCATTAAAGGTATTAAGGCACGCGGTGGAGTTACGGTTAGTGTTTGCTGGAGTGAAGGCGATCTTTACGAATTCGCCCTTTGGTCTTCGATTAATGGAGATATTTTCAAGAGATTGCATTATAGAGGAATTACTGCTGTTGCTAATATTTCGTCCGGCAAAGTTTATACTTTCGATAAGCAGTTGAAATGCTCGAGGATTTCTGCCCTACTCTTGTGATTGATTCATCATTGGATTCTTACTATTTTATTTTGTTGATCTTATAAACAATCAAAGAATCATTACTTTGAAATATTTGATTATTATTTTTATTATTATCATTATATTTTTCTGAATTTATATAAAGAAAGGAAGCAATCTTGAAGATGATGGAACTTGAAGTGTTACTTTAAATTCAATTGTTTGGATATTAATTTACAACAATCCTCTACCGAATCGTTAAAATTCATTTGAGTAAATTTCGGTACTTAAAAAATTTGTATCATTTATGGAATCGAAATATTCAGTTCGGTATGACTTTTACCGAATTAATTCGTTTTTTTCGGTTCGATAACGGTAAAATCGAAAATATATACCAAATACTAAAATTCCAAAAAATATTTATCGAATATCAAACCGAATTTTCAGTTAGTACTTTGACACGTACCGAATTTTTTGGTTCGATTCGATTCCTTGATTTACCGGGCGAGTGAACACTCTAATTTTCGATATTCTAAGAAATGATTAAGATACACCCCTAAAGTTATTTTCTCCTGCGTAGCACTGAATCATTTCCCAAAAACCCTCGTCAGAAAAAAGTAAAAACCCTCGCCATTTCTCCCAAATCCCGCACAAAGCAGCATCAGCAGCAACAATGGCGTGGCGTGGTTCTGTGTCCAGGTCGCTCATGTCCACCGCTAGGTCTTCCGCATTCCGCTCGTCGACGCCGCTCTCCGCCCCGCGCCGCCTCAATCCTTCTTCCCGCCCCATCCCCCGCCGCCTCTCCTTTTCCAATCCAAGGTCCTAAATTACAAATCTCACTGCTTCCATTTTTCACTTCTTCCATCAATCTCACTGCTCATGTTCTAATTTTTCTATTTTCCGTAGTTGCGAAACCTAAAATCTCGATTTAGTTATGTATGATTGAGATGCTAATTGAATTTAGCCTGATTTATTACATTGGATTCTTTTGTTGGCTTGGACAAATTATTTAATTAACGCTAATTAATGAAATTATGCGGTTTCCATTGATAATGAAATGCAGGACATTGGGAGAGCTGGGTTGTGCTCAATCGCTACTGCCGATGCATAGCATGGTGGCAGGATTAGGGCTGACATCGCACCTGGCGGTCAATGTGCGAGCTTACTGTGAGCTGTACAATGGTACCTTCCAACGTTCTTGTCAGGATCGCTAGTATTCTCTTTGTGAGTCTGATATACTATTGTCGTTAGGCTAGCACTAGGCGTAATAATTGCTCCTATAGAAACTGAAAATTTTGCTATATGTTTGTGGGTATTTCTTTCTCTAATTGATTTGAACTGATAGTCTAATGGTGCCACCTGCGAGATAATTCGATGAATTAGACAGTGCAGTGATTAATAATACTTGGATTTATTAGGATTGGTTGATAACTAAGAGTTAGAAGAATTTGGATCGTTTGGGAGGAATCGAAAGATATTGATGTCAGCAATGTTTCCCGCAACCGAACGTAGGAGACCACTTTTTTAGGTTGAATTTTACTTTCTCCTGAGTCTGTAGTTGGATCTAGTGTAGATTTATTTTAATGGTTGATGCTACTGAATTGGAAAGAGGGTTATTGATTTTGGGGTCTTTTTACTTGTGTTGGAATTTGGAAATAAAAATAAAAATACAACAGTAAAGCTTTCTGAACACTTGTAGAATACTGGGATAAAATTACTTTGTTTCACCGGTAATGTTCTCTAAACAGATACACACACACACGCATGTGCACATTTAAATATATAATAATCTAAATCCACAAATATTTAGGAATCTACACTTTCGCAATGCACCTTTTATGATGCTTTTATTCATTTCCTTCTATTTGTCACACTTAACGGTGATAAACTAATGAAACTGAATGGCGTGAGGTGGAAGTCAAACTTTCATACATTTTATTAGTCTTTTCACTTTTTTTTTGTTCCTTCAATTTCAACTTTTTTTTATTTATTTTTTATTTTGTTGTCCTTGAACATTAAATGTTTGGCAAAATGGAAAGAAATAACACAAACTTAGCCTAAGGTCCTAAAGTTCGATATCTCGTTCCAGACTATTCTGTGGCCCGTGTAATTGGCTTGTATTCCAAGTTTTCAACTGGTTCTAATGTCTTTAACTTTTCAAATGAAATTATTTGCTTTCGGGCATTGTATAGTAAGACATGAGTAACGTTATCAGAATGTGCCCACTAAGCTTATGTATGTCTTAACCGTTGCCCTTCTACCTTTGTTATCCTATATTAGCATAATGTTTGTCATTGAGAATTCAAGTCAAATAACTGTATGTGAATTAATAGATTTTTCATCAATATCAGTTTTTTACGGGCCCTTTCATGTGTATCTTGATCTATGACCAGAACCTTAAAAATTTGCAAGAGTCTGGTAAAACCAACTGTTTCCATTTCTTACTTGAACCCATTATGTGGGTGCAAGAAACTTGGACAAAGAAATGAGAAATGGACATGGTTGCTTCTTCACCTTTGTAACATGGTATGTCGCCTTTAGCATGTCTGTTTCAGTTCCACTATACTAGTGCGAAACAAAGTGGTCTACACATGCTAATGCTTCTTGAAGTGATTGACACCTCACCAAGCATTTCTTAACAAGACTAACTCTATGTTTTTATAATGTAATGATATGTATATCAGACAAATAAAAACACGATTTTCTAAGTTCTCTATAATCATCATTCACATGATTGAATTAACCGTGTTTCATTGTGGTGCAGGTACTTGAACTTGTTGTTGGGGGTATAAGCACACAGTGAGTGCTCAAAGAACTGGAAATTTGTCAGCAAGGGGTATCCTGCAGGAATTTCCCTCAGGAGAAACGGAAAATATCAATAAAAGAATGATTATGCATTTTCATTTTTTTTTAAATTGTGGACGAGACTTAGTTATAGCCAAAATTTGACCTGAATATGGAAATACGATTTTTAATGCTTCATTTTGTGAATCATTGAACAATTTATGCACAAATGTTCATTATTCCTGCTGCAATAGTTTCTTGAACTTGGCAATAATTGATAGTTTTTGATCTTATCCAACGCTTTAGCATCGTATAAAGTTTGAGCTTTAGCTAATATTACCGACTCTTAAGACTCGATCTAGTAAGAACAAAGTACGGTTACTGGTAGAATGGAAATTGCATGAACTTGCTTCCTATTCTCTTTCTTCCACAAGAAAAAAAGAAAGAAATTTGAACTTGATTGTTTAATGTATAAGTCAAAAAAGAAGTACATATACTCACTGTCAAGTTGCATGAAAACAAGGAACCCTGATATGAATAGTTGTTGTAGGGCTGCAATATAATGTGAACAATTAAAGTGGTTCTTCTGTAAGCTTCCATTGTCAATAATTTTGGGGCCACAGCTTTTATAAATAAACTGTGAAATTTGTGGCATTAGGTGTAATAGTTATATGAGGAAATTATTATTATTATTATTATTAATATATTGGGCCAAAAAACACATGTAACGAAGCATCTTCTTCCTTGCAGGTGTTGTTTAGTTAGCCTTCAATTATTTCATTGTAGGGAAAATCTGGATTCTTCTTGCTAAGTAGTTATCACAATGGAACAAAACCTCTACACTGGGTCCACTATAAGTTATTATTTAGCAGCACAAGTAGCAGCATCGGAGCATCTCCCAAATTCTTTCAGGTGCGTGTATCGTAAGGCTACGCTATAGAACCCAACTCGTAAAACGAAAAAAATAACCCATAATTGCCCATTGGTTATTTCCATGGAATATTTTATTTTATTTTATTTTAAAAATTTAATATTGTGGCGCTACTCGAAAGCAAGATAATAACGTAAGAATATGATTTAACACGTACATAAAGGATAAAGGAGAATTTTGCAGTTCAATTTGAATGCGTATAGCTCAGTTTCACATAGAACTGTTGAAAAAGTTGCCAACCAAAAAAAAGTCTATCAGCTTTGGAGATTCTGCTAACCTAATCCCTTTCGTTTTCCTCGTTTGCTTTTGAACACAAACCAGTTCCGTGGACGAAGTTAGTTTACTTCGCTATTCTTAATCTTATCTAACCTCGTTTCCGATTCTCTATCCCAAAACGATATTTAAATTTTTCATATTCCATTTCAAAAAGTTAATTCATAATGATTTCATCAAGATATCTTATTTATAATAAAAGAATCAAAAGTGTTGCGAAAGTCAACACAACATCACCTCGTCTTTGCACTTTTGAAGGGTTTTTTTTACCTGGAAGCAATCAAGAAACTAACTTACTGAACAAAAACCATATTTACATATACATTGACACAATCACATATTCTACAAACAAGGTAAACATGCAAGTATTGTTTAAATTTTCAATCCAAATAATTCAGCCAGCCTAAAATTAGCAAGTTTTGACCCTAGTAAGTAGTAAAGATCCCTTCACATAAAGCTTTACAAAGGTGCACAACACTGTCACACATGTGTATGTGTGTGTGTGTGTGTGTATCTAATGTACATATTGACACAGGGATATAAGTCAGTAGTGCCCAACACTCACTACAGAACACAGTTGATAACCAATGTATGTATGTATGCATATGTAAGAAATTAAATAAACCCCTCCACAGTAAGCAAATAGGTTTTTTCTTTGTCCTCTTCTCATCATTGCACTATATAATAACACAGGCCATTTTAAATGCCAGAAGGGCATAAAAAAAACTGCCAAGAAAACCCAACACTAAGACACCCACATAGATACTCATGTTTCCACATAAAACTAAATAGAAACTGGTAATAGATACGCGCAAATATTTCTATATATCCACCATTATTGCCTAATTTTCAAGACCCTACCACTTTCCCAAAGACTTTCTATGTATCAATATCAGAACACACCCCACTATGGGTATAATACTGCAGCCACTAGCTCCAACAATCTATATTCTGGATCAAAGCTTATCATTCACACTCACCTTTTCGTTACCATAGGGAACACTTTGAACTTACGTGGGACCTGTCACCATTATATCTCAATACCCTATTTCACAACTAACCATAGTCAGCCTCCGAAAGAAAATAAAAAAAAATGAAAACTGTTAGAAGAATTTACCATATCATACCAGATCAAGATCAGGTTCTAAAGCAGCCCGCCGATAAAATTCAGATAAAAAGATCTTTGCCTTACCATCGGATAAAGTGTAACAAGAGATATCGAGTAGGCAAGCAGAAATCATGGCAGACAATAAAAAGTTAAAAAAAAAAAAAAAGATAAAAAAAACCATGATGATTTGTTTTTTGACTGCATGACTGCATAATGGAATGAATTGTCATTAGATTGGCAACATAAGTATAGTTTAAACTAATCGCAATGGAAAGTTGATGTGGTTTCAACAGATAAGGAGAAAAAAAGGGAAAAAAATGGTGAGTGGGAATCTCAAGCTTTGACAGAGGGCGACGATGAAAGATGACGTAAGCATCCCCCTTGGGAAAAACCAAGCATCGTTTAGGTGGGGACAAGTGAACAGACATCTATGATAGATCTAAAAATGTCTTATATCACAATTCCTTCATCTTGTCAGTCTCAATTTATTCCCATCTCTCATAATATATAGAACCAATCTAAAGAGTCTTAACAGAGTAGGAATTCAACGGAGTACCTCAAATCCCACCAAGTGAATCCAAACGAGAAGAAGACTCTTCTTCCTCTGCACCGAAGAAATCAATCGGCAGAGCTAGAACAAATAAAAAGATGCCAAAGCAAGAAATTAGTGATCAAGAAACAGCACAAAAAAATCCAGGAGAGTGGCTGAACCTGAGCCTAGGGAGTAATCAGTCACAAACACTTACGGAAACCAGCGATGCACAATCAAGAACTGCTTCTTCAGCCAAGATTTTCTCGTGCAACTTCTGCATGAGAAAGTTCTACAGCTCACAAGCATTGGGTGGGCATCAGAATGCTCACAAGAGAGAGAGAGGAGCAGTAAGACATTACCAGTCACACAAAATGATGACTCTGCCAGTGCCAATCCATACTTCCATGTTCAGATCACTTGGGGTGCGGGCCCACTCCCTCGTGCACAAACCAGGCAGAGATGGAACGGTGATTGCAGGGAGATTTGGCGAGGCTGACACGAGATACGAAATGGCGTGGCAGCCTGGCACAGTGGAGGCGGCAGATGTTATGTGGCCTGGAAGTTTCCGGATGGATCCACCACCACAACCGGAGCTGAAATCATCGAACTCGAATTTGCTCGACTTGAATCTCAAACTGTAATCAGCTATTTATCTGTTATCGATTGGGTTTTTTTCTTCTTTTTCTTGTAACTTACTATAATGCTTCCAGAGATTTGCCTGTCGCTATTTAAAGCTGAGCCCCAGTATTATATTCCAACAGAGGTGCTTATTATGCCACTTGATGAAAAAAAAACTTCCAGCTCTTTATTTATGTGTAATGAGTAAAACAATAAGTTACAGGCTGTTTATAGATATTCTAATCCCAAGCACCTGAACTATATTTCTGGCTGAGTCTTTTTTATCCTGCGTTCCAGTTTTATTATGTTATTTGTCAATTCATACAGAACATCATCTTGAAAAACAGTGGCTGTTTCCATGATCCATGACTATAACTATCTTTACAATGAAAAGGAAGCTTAAACTAACATAAATTTTGAGTAGATAGCTGTTTCAATGATTCATGACTATAACTACTACCCTTACAAATAAAAGGTGGCTGAGAAAAACATATATTTTGAGTGGGGATGAACTATTTGAAATCTTAAAGGCTTTTGAAGAATCTCCAGCATAACTTCACTCCAAAAACTGGTTAATCTAGAAGACATGTGTAATACACAGGTCTCTACCCCACCTTTGAACAACCAAATTAATGAAGCAAGTTTTAATTGTTCATTCCCTACAAACTTCCAAACAAGCATAATAGCAAGAATAAACCTAGGTGCAAGTGCAATGTTACAAATAAGCATCTCTAACCTTCTGCATATAAGATACAATAAGCTACATTAAAGTAGATTAAATATCTATTTTTATGCATTCATTGCATCACGGTCATCAACTAGAGGAGTAAAAATAATTGTGCATTAAACTCTGACGATGGCATGATGATATTCACAGCAAGACGGAAAATAGAAGGTAAAGCAGGCAAGCAGGCGTTACGAACCCCTAAATATGAAAAACAAAGACTGACTCCAGTTTAACAAGCTGAATGTCCATCAATTGGCACATCTGCCTAGTTCTTTATGACAAATGCATATCTTATTTTAGTCGTCTCGGCAAGAGTAATTAACAGAGGATAATATATTACCACACACCCAACGTATCCCCTATTTGGAAACTTATACACAATTGCATGTTATCTTTAACAGGTTTTTCAAGGATTGAAAATGAGGTGGTTGATCATGGTGAGGAGCAAGGCGACTGGCTATTACCAGTATTTCAGGTAGCAGGTCGTGGCAGTGAAAAGTGAAAGAAAATGATAATGGTGGCACAGGGTAATGCTGGTTAGTTGAGGAACTAGCTGTAAATGAAGGGAAGTCCAGTCATCTAAAAATTAATCTGCTCAGTATACGATCCTGACTAAATAAGTGCGGGGAGCGCTGGATTTACTACTATTGTTAAACCTTATTTGTTCACATCAACCAAAACAAACACATAAGGCCCTTCATATTAATGAATAATACATGACAGAGAACACCACTTAGTCAGTATGCCTTTGACTTGACAAGCATGTGCTTAAATAATTATTGGCTCCTCTTATGAGACCCTTTCATTAATTAGTTAAGTTGCCAACAAACTATCATTTCATCTGATGCACCATGGCCAATATACCAAATTACCTGTGGGGTATACAAAAAACTTACCTCTCCACTTATTCACCTTTTAGAATCTCAAGCGAAGCCCTTAGCCATGCATATCTGTTATAAATGGTTTCGATTGTCGACCGAAGTGCCATACTTTCTCGTGTATGGGCTAGCGGTCCTCCATTCCACTTTGCCAATTTAGAGACACTCATCACATTTCTCTTCCGTTTCGTGTTTTCAATCTAAAAATTAATCACAGTTACACAGACATATATAATTACATTCCCCATCGTAGCAACTGATTTCTTTAGTCAACTCGGTAGTAACTCAAATGTTCACCAAATTGCAAATGACTTAATTAAGAAAACTTTTAAGTAAAGTAATTACAGTGAGAGACTTTCACGTCATAAATAACCATCTTAGTTCCATCAAATACATTATGGATTCCTCACATTAATATAAGATCTACATCATATGTCGCTCTTAATTCTCAAGCAGATCCGCTAGTATTTCTTCAGTAGTTAAATAATGTTGAGGACTCGTTACAGCTTACAGTATTTATGTGAATATAAGCTTTTGGGTCTTGCGCGTGACAATTGGGAGCCTTTCACTGATGACACCAGGATCATTGTATGCAGCAGAATCAGCAGGATATCCTTTCTGCAAAAATTAATAAAAATTGACTTTCCAAGAAAAAAACAATTAATATAGAAAGAGGCCTACTAAAATGAATGCAAGTTTAGATAACGAGACCAAAACTTTATACTTTGCAGGCTAATTGATTTAAAAGTACTTCACAATTAATTACAGCAGCAACAGATATAGTAAACCTAAAAGTAGAACTACCTTGTCAAATACTTCTAGAGATGGAAATTACAGATACCCAGGCTATAATAAAGAACTCTTAAAACTTTCAAGAGGTTGCGTCGGAAAATCATAATTTGTGAACTGATCAAAAGGAAGAACAGAACATCACTCACAGAAGACAAGGCCTTAAAGGTGGCTTCTCTCCAGCAGATTTCTCGAAGAATAACCGGTTCCTTACCCTCCTTGAAAGTACAATGCATACGAGTGTCCCTCAATCTCATAAGCACTCCATCAACTCTGAGCTGCAAGATAATGTCAAATACTGAATAACCAGGGAAATATAAGTTCAAAATAATATCATCCTATAACAGTTAGAGACTCTAGAGTTCACATATAAAAGATACACAATATTTACTGATAAGCTTGATGCACACTTCTGACGATTAAAAAACAAGAGATATCTAATTTCTGCATGCTCCCTTGTCAAGGAATTATCTTATGAGATTTTGTTTTACAAACTCACCCAGAAGCGTAAGAGAAGAAACCATCCACTTGCCATGACTCTCTGCAATATTATCACACAAATTAAGAGGAAATAATTTATCCTCACTCCTTTCTGTCAGGAAACATGAATATAATGGATAATCGAAGGTGTTACTTTACCACTTTAACAGTCAAAAGAGAGACACCGTTATCAGCCAATTCATCTTCATACAATATAACCTGTTGAAACATAAAGTAAGTTGTCCATGGTGTGAGAAAGTAAATTGAGACAGTAATTTCACATCTGAAGCATCCGATCCTAGGAACTCCAGAAATGACTCATTAACTAATTACATACCTCATCATAGAAAAGGATGGGCTCTTTAGCTGCCAATGCAGCAATATTGATCTGCTCTTGGCAGTCTTCCCAACGAGGATTACAGCTGCTTTTCGCGGGATCTCCTCCAGACTAATAAATGAAGAATAATATATCTTAGGAGTTCAATGTATAAAGCAATTAGATCAACGTTAAGATCAATATGTGGTTAGCAAAACTGGCAAGCCTAGCCTATATAAAGTTGCACCATAAATAATTATTAGGTGCAATTAGCATAACCAACAAGAAAAAAAACAGACAACTAATCTCTGTTGCTATTTTTAAAACTACGACTAAATCATATTCAATAAAAATAAAATACTTTACTCTTTACTTCAGGCAAAACTAAGATCAGGTGCACCAGAGAAAGAAAGTACACCTCAGGATTGTTTTCAACAGTAGCAGCGCCACAGTATGGTGTTGTGAATGTATAATCATAATCCAGTATCACCTGATCCGTAGGATTGCTGCAGGATTTAGAAAAAACAGTAATGAGAAGAGATATAGCGAGATGAATGGCATACGTGACATTATTTCATGCGTAATTTGCCATTATTTTCCCAAGTTTAATCATGCGTAATATGCGTCATACTCTCTACACAATTGCACAAAGGCACTAAAGTGACCACTCTATTCTAAACTGAAGTCACTTTCTCAAAAACCTCGAGCATGCTCCTAACATTTAGTGATCACACCACTAGGACAGTTAAGATTCTTTCGACAGGTGCAGGCATGCAATCATGTGTCTGACTCGTCTTGGCAACTCTCGGAACCAAGAAAGATTTTTCTAAATCTGCTTCAACTCTGGGAACTATGATCATGAAACTGAGGTACTTACCTTAATATATTCTATCTCAGTACCTCAAAATAAATTAGCTTGGACATAATAAAAACTTTTTTATTCAAATGACTTATGGAGAAACGATATGCATACCACCGAAATTTCCATTTGGCAGCTGCTGGAACTTCAACTGGAGGCAATGCTTCCTGCTTCCAGCCACATAGAGCATCAAATGCATTGAAATGAATCTTAATGCCACTACTCACATGCTTAAGAACTAAAGTACTCTCCCCAAAAACCATCTCTGGCAAGTGAGATGTCTTAAGCTTCTCTTCCCACCTACAGGTACATTTAGCACTTATAATAATTCCTGCTGAGCAATGCTTATATTAACAAGAATAATATATTCTACATCATTCGGAGTGATGACGCTTGAGAAAGAGCAGTTATTCCAAAGAAAGAGTCATATCGAGAATTAACATATTATTGGTAGCTGAACAACTTAAAAAATAAAACCAGTACTATTCCTAGACTAATGGTAGAACAAATGACATATTTCTACCAGTGTGCGAAGATGTACTAAAGTAACAAAATCGTAGTTTAACCGAGTGGAACTCCAATATTTTTTATCTTTTTTTGGTTCCTTAATGATAGATGTTGCATTTGCTCAACAAGAAACAGTGGTATGCATATAATTTCCTACATAGAAATCGAACAAACATTGTAATCTTACCAGTCAAATTATGATTAATTCCATTGCATCTGTTACTTAGTTAACACCCAGATTACCATATTTTATTCTGAAAAATTGATATTTCCAATTTCAGAAACAATTAATCATCAGCAAAAAAAAAAAACGAAGCCAACAACGTGATGGTTCAGTGAGGCATTCTTAATCAGTAGTAGCATCGCCGATCAAGTAACAACTGGTTTAAAATAGAGAAATCGCAGCAGTTTACTGGAAATTAACGATCATATTCAAGCATTTACTATTTCTACACACACACACAGAGGAGAGGGGGTAAGAGAACAGTACTCTTGGACAAGAGAAGATGTGAGAATAGAACGTTTGCGAGTCTCGATCTCCCAACCACGAATCAGAAAACCTAGTCGTCCGCCGCCGAGAGCCACCGCGCCGGCCGCCTTCAACTCCGTCTCGTCGCTTTCATACTCCATCTTCGATTAATTTCAGTTGAGAAAAAAAAAAAGAAAAAAGTTTTCTTCGCTCTGTTCTTTTCTGGGGTTACTCTAATTTTGACCTTTTGCTTATCACGCTTTTTGACTAAAAGTGATTAACGCTTTTAAAACAGTCACAAATCGTTCGGGCCCAAGCCAATGTTGATTGCTACAATGGGCCGAATGAAGTAAAGCCCATTACATTAATATTCTTTCCTTTTTCCTTCTCTTTTTGTTTTTTACTTATTCCTTTGATAGTCGGAAAAGCGCACTGAACGCCGGTCTTTCACCGGAGAAGATGAGTTCAAGATTTCTTATCTGAGAGCTCCTTAATTAGTTCAAGATTTGATCCTTATTAGACAATTGCCGCGTGAGACCTTTCAATTATTTAATTCATTTATTCGAGAAATCATCGGATCGAGCATTCCAATGGTCTTGAAGTCAGCTCGTCACCTACCGCGTCTCCTTTTTCTTCATATTATATTACCCTTTAAACATAAAGAAAACTATTCAAAACAAAGGTGTTCACTTATTCATAAATCTAATCTTTATTCATTTCACCAAAAGGATATATATCATATCATATACATCACCAGTGTTTCTTACAAGAATGTCTTCTCTTTCCTTTTCTTGAACACCAAACAAACCAACAGTTTTATTTAATTAGTAACAAGTTTGTTACAGGAACGCTGTGTGAGACGATTTCGAAACACCAGAAAGATCAAAATCTAAAAAATATATGTCAAGAAAAAAGAGGGGCATTTCAGTCAATGTCTTCCATACGTGTACCAACAAAGTCTGGTATTGCTCGTGTCCGAAATCCCTCCTGGAGAAACAAGAAAGAAGGAACATAGAATCAGTTTTCGATAATTAACTTATCAATAATAGCTAAAATCACAAAACTTCACTCCACGAGCAATAATATTGAAAGTTGATTCGTTTCAAACCTCGAATAATAATGCGGGAATTTCGCCGGGCGGACTCAGTGAGGCGACGCATTTGAACTGTTCCAAGAAGAAACATAACTCCATTATTGCCATCTCAAAAAAAGGAAAAAAAAAATAAAAAAATAAAAAATAAATAAAAATCGAGATACCTTGTGATCCATATACTTCTGTCGAACGGCTTTTGCAGAAGTTTCACTTCTGAGTAGCAGATTTTGGAGTCTGAGTACACAATCTTTGAGTTCGTACGGTTTATAACCCGTATGTTGTTGTAGATCCAGTGTCTGCAAATTATTTTAAATCATCAGAAATACGATCGATTTCATTTGTTCTAAACAATTTTAAGTTAGTTCGATCACACCATTTAATATGGTGAGAACTAAAGAAAAGGCTATGAAAAACTTACCCATGGGTGAAAATGCGGGTCGATAGTCAATCTCGCAAGAAAAACGACCGAAGCAGCAATCTTAGATGGAAGGTGTCGAACACAATCGTAATCGACTAAACTCAGCTCAGCCAGACAGCAGCAAAAATAGTCGAATTTGAGATTCGAGAACTGGAAAAAAAAAAAGACGATAACCAAGTTATTAGCATTACATTCAGCATTTTCAAGAAAAGAGAATAGATTTTTATAGCCTCACCACAGGTTTATCTTGAGCAGCCGTCGTAAAAATTCTGTCAAAAACACACACACACACACACACGTTACATACTGAACGAGATTTCACATTGAAAACTGAAATAAACGAAAAGGAAAAGGGACGACTGTGTATAAAAGATTCTAACCTGAGAAATGTTTTAGTTGTCGGGCTACCCATCTGAAAATCGAGAAAATTAAGGACATCCTTTTCCATATTCACTACCTGTTTACGTTGCATTTGTGAATAAACGTAATGCAATAACCTTAAAACTACACTATAGGATATGTTTTTTTACATAGACAAACAGACCTCTTCTTTCGTGTACGTGTTGTCTGTTATGTAGCAAAAATCCTCGACACGCGGAGGACTAATTTCTTCATATTTTCTGCAGTTTTTTTGTCAACCATATAAGAAATTTTGAAATTACAAATTACGATACAAATCGGACAAGGGAATAATCGGCTTACGATGCGACAAGCATGCAAGCTACACCGAGAAGCTGAAGGTTTTTCCTGGTAATTTTATGGGCTGTTAAATAAAGGTCTATACAGTTTACGGTGAGAAACAGTGTGTCTGAAAGGAGCTTGTATTCTTGCGAAACTTCGACCAACCAGTCGACTAGAATCGATCGCATAACTGGGGTGATGTCGTTTTGAATCTTTTCGATGTAATTCGACAACGGCCTTCGTTTCGCCTCGACCTAATACCGCGCAAACCGAAAGCACCAAAAACAGATTCATTCAGCAAAAAATTAAAATCCATAAGACTACTTATACAACAGTCCATCTATTGAATCGAAAGGCGAAAAATGAAATCGAAATCGGGAATTGTAAATGCAATAGGAGAAAAGTAAAACCTAGTAGAATACTACCTCCAAAGAGTGTAGATGTCGAAATATCGAAGAAGCGTATCCCGACTTCTGCGGCGGCTGCTCATCGGGTCCCGGGCTAGCCACCAATTGTAGATTCAATTCATTTTCCCTCTTCTTCGGATCCGGATCCTGTTTGAGTTTGCGAGTTTTCCCCAGACCCGGGTTCCGAGACAACGAATTGGAGGAGGTGTTCGTGAGATCACCCAATACAACCCGATTCTTTTTCGCCGGATTGGTTCCGGCGGATTGATTGGGTCTCTTACGAGATGCTCTGTTTCTCGTGGGGACTTGGTTTTCGATGCCGGCCATTTATCGAAAGCCCCTCTTTTCTAAGAGCTTGCGGGAAATGGGATTAGGGTTTTTAGCCAGGTGCCGGCGCTGATTACTGTGCGTTTGCTTGAGTGGGAGAGGTGAATGGATTTTTATAGTGGGTTTTGGTGGACGGAAAACTGAGGTGAAGAAGCGGCGGAATTTTTTTTCTGATTTTGTTTCTGTTTGACTTCCTGCAAATGCCGCCATTTTTATGATTTCAAAAAAGCTGTTTTACCGCGCAGTCTCTCTGTTACTATTTGTATTATAATATTTTAATTTTTTGGGAGGAATTGTACTATAATATTTAATAAATTTAGTTTTTTTTTATAGTATATTTTGCTAAATCGAATCAAACAAAAAACATTAAGGATATTAATTACATCTGATAATTATTAAAAATTATTTATAAACTTAATTAATTTAATTATGGGCTGGAAGCCTAAAACTAATGATGGGCATCTCCTTCATATTGAGCCTTTTTGGATATTGATGCTATAGTTTTAAGGTTTGGGCTCGGATTCTTATCTCAGTCCCATTAGTTTAACACTGTAAATACTAAATACCTAGTTACATTTAAATAATGTATAAAATTATATATAATATTGATCATCTCAAAAACAACGTGGCCCAATGACTTCCTTCGTCGCTCTGGGACGGACCTGCGAAAAAGACTGGACTGACGCCGGAGTTAGCACTCCGACAGTCAAGTCAGTATTGGATCACATATATTTTTGTAGGATATTAGATAATGTGTAATTATGAGGAAAAACGTAAGAATCTGGCCCTCTTGTGGGCACATGCATATTTATAATATCCCTCTGGCTCGCTCTCCGAGTGTCCTTGAATTCCGGTTAGACGGGCCTGCTTCGGCCGTTCTGTTTGCCTTTCGGCCGGGTGGCTCGGGCCATGATGATATCTCTACTCTCCAGGCTTTACCACATCTAGGTAGTGCAAAGAACTCCTAGCATGTCCTTTCCATAATTTATTGGTCGCACTTAGTCATTCGGACATTAAATGTCATTGACAGAACACTCCAGACTTTACCACATCTATGTAGTGCAAAGAACTCCTAGCCTGTTCTTTCCCCAAGTCATTGGTCGCACTTAGTCATTCGAACATTAAATGCCATTGTCAGAACATTTAACGTGCCCCTGGACGAACATGCCAGCGCATTTATATCTCCCTTTTCGTACTTTCCCAGACCTTTTTAAGTAGGGACGGAATTCCCGAGCGCCGTTCTCAATTCGTTGATCCTTCCCCTTGTTTTTAGCCCTAGTCGAGCCGTCGGGATGAGGTTGGGTTTTTCCCGATTTGGGCTCCTTTCTTTCCTTTGGGCTGGTTGGGCCATTCCTGGACTGCTTGTAATGGACTTTCGACTTTGGGCCTTGTGAGTCAGGTCTTGGTCCGGATCAAATATAATATTTTCGTTGAGCCACCAGCTCTGCACTAGAAATTAGTGATTACTGTGTTCAAGCTTATTTTTATTTTTCTATTGAATAGGGGTTAATTATTAACTAGCACCAAACCCAACATATTTTGCTTAATTGGAATACTCGTTTTGCATATCCCAACATTGCCCTTATATTTTCCATTTCCACACAACAATTTTTTCCAATTTATGTTCCATAATCGAAATTTTAATTTTACCTTTTTCTTTTTAATTTATTTATTAGTCCTTTTGTTATATTTTTTTTCTCTTTAATTTAGACAGGTCTGGTCAACTACTGACATCGTAATTAACTAGCTTAGTCCCACTACTGAAACCACTACTGAAACCACTGCATTGAGCAACAAATTTGTGGTATTCAACTATGATTTTATGTCGACTATCACAATTTAGTAGTTGATTATTATACTTTAGTAGTGTAATACCACGAATCAGTAGTTGAATAATATGATGATTTTAACAGTCGGCTACACTAATCGACCACGATTTCAGTAGTTGATTAAATCTGTCTCTGAAAATACAAAAAGTAAATAAATAAATAACTTCAATAGAAATTACAAAACAATATTGCTTTCCAAACTTTCAAAAGAAGATTTTATTTTCTGAAAAAAATAGATAATATTTGGGGTAGGATGGTGTATTGATATGTAATAGAAGGGTATAATGGGTAGATTACAAAATAATAGATTTATGTTTAATTAAAATATCAAACCAAGGGAAATGAGTTCAATGTCGAGTGAGTCTGGGTTTTAGTTAAGTATAGAATAGCTATACAAGTCAGTAAGCAGGCTATCAAACTTACCACTTATTCCAAATCAGTCCCCAGACTCTTGGTATTTACGTGGTCTGCCTGAACTGGTAGCGCTAACCATCGGCAATCAAACGAGGATCAGAAAAATTATAAATATTTATGCATAACTTCAAAACGTCAGCGGAAATAATATTAACTAATACCTATGCCCTCGAAAATTTTACAGGTCTACATTGTATTATAGAGGCAGCGTGATTTGATCGTCGTAACATAACAAACAAGTTCTGCATGATTTCAAATTTCATCGGACTATGACAACACTCACCGGCAATATTTTTAACTTCACTTATACGACTATTTCAAAATAAATTTTCAGGCTTACAGAACAGGCTTTTTTGGCAGGCTGAGAAGTGGCTGGGAATCACACCGCCGGAAAATCTTCACCGGAGCAGCGGCGGAGAAGTGGCGGAAGTTAGAGAGAAAGGTGAATGGGTTCAGAAATAAGAAAAGGTGATTCATTAGCAAAAAAAAAAGGCTAATTAACTTGCCATTGAAAAGTTACGGAATTCCGGAATTTTCTCCACTGGCATTATTTACCACGTTTTCCAATCCCAGAGTCTGATTGGAATTGTTACCTTCTGTGCCGACACTTGTCTGAGGCTCGGGTGGCTTCTTCTCAGTTGAGTTTGATTCCGTTTGTGGTCTATGATTGTAGCTCCAACGAGCATTTTCGAACCATTTACTAACCTGAAAAAAAAATTAAAAAAAAAAATCAGATAAAATTGAATATATAAAACTGAAATCAGAATATAAATATACAGACCTGCCGAACTGTGATCCCTAATTCGTTTGCCAGGTTTTCTTTAGCAGCTCTTTGGGGGTATTGATTCTCACTGAAGGATACATAAAGTCTCTGCATCAACACATATCCATCATTGAAAATCACCACAAGATATACCTAAAAGCTGAGAAAACAAAAGAGCAAATGGCGGTTGCTCACAGAGTTGTTAATAGTGTAGCTATCACGGACACTACTACAGGTACCTTCCATATTTTCGTCCATATATCTTTTTTTAAACAAATATTTTTCAATAAAATTAGGAAAACAATCACCATGGCTGTAAAAGATATGGCTTGCGTTTAGAAGCACACTCATTTTGGCGATAAATACCTGAGTTGTTGCTTCTCCGAGCCGTTTCAGTGGTCGTTTTTTAGAGGTCGTACTGGAACCATTATTAGCTGGCGACTCATTTGTTCCCCCATCAGCAACTTTTTTTCGAGGTCGCTTAGATGAACGTTTGCTTGCTTTCTGGTTTTCATCCGTGGTGTTCGTGTTACTCTTTGTAATTGGAGTTTTATCACGGGACTTCCGCTCAGATTTTTCAGGATCAATCTTCCTTCTCTTTCGAGTGGTGCCATCATCAAAGTCCTCGTCGCTTGAATCAGAAGAAGCATTTCCATATGTTTCCTTCGATAGAGCGCAACAGTTTCCGTAAAAGGATGAACCCAGTGAAATTAGAAAATAAAACAGAAGGAACAAACTGGACGTACTAAATTGAAGTATTGTTAAATAAAGACGGAACTTCTAAAGGTAATGTGCTAGTCGATATACAAGAAAAGGGCACTTAATTATGACTATCCATTTCATAGCATAATATAATCTCCCGCTACTTGTGTAAAATAATAGGATTACTAATCAAGTACCTCCTTCCATAGAAAAGGGGTACTTCCACTGAAAGTTTCATGTGCTTAAAACAATAACAAAATGCAATAAACAAATATATAATTACATGATTTGAAAAGTTTTAGGACAAAATAATGTCCTAACTTTACAATTAAAAAGTGCTTGAAGAAGCCAGATTTTTCCAAAGAAGAGGCCAAGGGTATTTCAGTAAGTTTGGTTCAGCACCTATTTTACGGAGTTCGGGTATTTGGGTCTTATATCAAGTTTCACGTCGATCATGATTTATCTTAGAACAAATTTATTCGTAACTCTATTAGGCAGAAGGAAATGGTGTATAGTTGTGTAACCTTAGCAATTTCCATTAACATCATATTTTTTTGTTCACTCCGAATCACTACTTCATCAAAAGAGCAAGTCAATTCCTAGGTTTCTGTCATGTAATATTAACATCTGCTAGACATCTCGATTTCTATGTCTTCAATAATCCTGAACCACAAAATATTATCACATTGCTTTACCATCGCAACATGAAACCTCAGAATTTCTCAAAGAAGAAACTTGTGAACCTGCTCTGCTATGTATGATGGGGAAGTACACAACACATAATTTGTCCTACACTATACCAAGGCCTCTAGTGTACTATGTTTAAGAATAAATATCCTACCTAATGTAGACCTCTGTATTTGATGCAAATGCACTATCCACTATTTCGAACTTCATCAGTTTCGGAAAAACCTTGTGAATCAGTTAAAAAAACCAACCATCTGACAATTACCTTTTCCTAATTTTATTTACGTGCAGACTCTCATTATCCACAATTACCTTTTCCTAATTTCAGTAAAAAAGTCATCAGACCCTCATAACTTACACTTTTAATGACATGATTGGATATATCTATAAAGGTTATCAGAATATGTCGAGTAGGCCAAACTTTAACTAACAAAGACAATATAATTAAACGGAAGTTGTGCCACAAAAACTTCTGAATCCCATTAAAAATCCAGTAAAAATGACAACGAAGATAAGCAAGCAACCTTGAAACTGAACCTAATACTACAATTCACTATGGAGCGTAACAAAATATCGAATGTTGCGAGTGCAATACGTCAAACATAAAAGTCTTAGGAGAAGAAACTCACATCAAGCAATTTCTTGTAATCCAACCGTTTCACTTGTCTTTTGCCAGCCACAGGTTGGGCATCGGTCTCCATAAGGTAAACCAGCTCATCTTTTAATGATGTCCTCTTCATCCTACCCACTTTAGGATTTTCATCATTAGAGCCTGTGGAGGGTTGCTTTTGATCTGCTGTTTGTCCAGGATCTTGACCAGGCTCAGTGGCATTTTCTTCAAGTAGAGCATCTAGGTCCTCCGAATCAGAGGTAAAATCAGAACCTGAACTGTCCTGCTTTACCTGTTCGTCTTCATCTGGAGCAGATGGATCAAAATCATCGTCTTCCGAATCCTCAGAAGGAAGCCCCTCATACTTATCGTTATTAAGAGGAGCTGCTACACCATCAGATGCAGAAAAGTAGTCAGATTCATCAGAACTTGATTCGTCTCCTTCAACCTTCTCGTCTGCATTATTCTCGTCTACATTATTCTCGTCCGCATCGGGCTTATCGGGATCATAATCATCATCCTCAGCATCATCTGATGAAGACCCAGAACAGTCATCAAGTTTCTTTCCAGATGCAGCTGCAGCAGCCTCGGGAAAGATCTTCTGTGGACGAGAGAGAGCATAACAATAAGCAACTAATTTCGACAATTATAGGAAAAAACACGTCAAGTGGAAAAAACTAGACCTCCCAACTGTCAAGGATAGAGATTTTTGTTCCCTGGAAATCCTTAAGCATGTCAATGCAATCAACTTTACAATCACATCCAGGGCAAAGCCAACCTTCATCGCCCGGAGGAACTGTATGTATATACACGACCCAAACGAAAAGAAAAAAAAAAGGGAACAAAAGTGAACAATTAGATATGAATTAAGATAATGGAAAGAAAACCAATCAACTGGCTGGGCATGAATTACTTTGTTCTTTTAACAGAGGGGGGTCTAAGCAGAACTGATGAAATCCACGTTCACAGGCACCATCACATAGAATGATATCATTATCAAGTGGCAGTTCCTTGGAGCCACATTTCGCACAGAAAATCTGCAAGAATGAAAAGAGGGCTTTAAGATTCCTAAATGCCAAATTTAGGATAAAAATGTAAACATCAAATCCTCTTCGAAGATATATCACCAACGAAGGAAGCTTTTTGTAGAAGCAAAACTAAGCATACCAGTTATTGCGAGACAAGGCTCAAACCTAAAGGATGGGACTTAAAAATCTCAAATTCATTGGCCTACATAACACTTTTTAGCAAACCAGGAAAGTTTTGCTTCAATTTATTTACTTTTAGATAAAATTGTCGACATAATATCAAGCCAAACCTACCTTTGTGAGGCTTTCACAATGGCAATCGGTGTAGAAATGAATCTTTATAAACCATCAAGTACCCAAATAATATTCAGATGTAACATTAACAGAAAGCTGCAGCATTTGTATCAGAAACATCAATGCACACGGAAAACGAACATGGTCGTATTAAAAAGACTATAAATATTTGGACGTGAAAATGATGGATAAAAACTTCAACCAAATAATTTGATAAATATTTTCCTTTTTTGTATAATAAATGGGCACAAATGAAAGAAACATAATATTTTCCAGTCCAATACAGAGGCAAAGATAACGAAAAGAACCCACAGATTGATTAAAGAGAAGTCCTTGACTATTTTTTTGTTCTTTTACTATTTCCACTCTCCAAAATAAACCCCGAAACTTAAAACTCCTCTACAAGAACACTCTGTACATAGCCAAGTAGAAAAGCTAATCCAAGTGATTCTTTTGGAAAATGGATAACTGAAAAAACAGATTTGCAGCATTAGCACAATCTGCATGCAGAATCTACTACATGCACAAGATAGTTCAATGGGATTTAAGCAACGTGACCATATTCTCAGTTCAATGTAATAGAGATAAAGAAAAGTTATAGCTACAGATTACACTGAATTGCCTACATCTTCGCTGTCAATCTCTCCTTGAGAGTCAAACAGAGATGTTGGAAGCTTTCCCACAGCAAGTGACAGATCAAGGTTCTCAAACAATGCTCTTATTCTCAATTTGTAACGTAAAATATGAGATTTTGCCCGCTGGAGCTCCTTCTCAGGCTTCAACTTTTCCAAGCTGTAAAATGTGCAGAAATGAGAAATGTTTTGAAGAAGAAGCCAGGCATCAAACAGACAAAGTTGAAGAACAAAGAAAATCGACTGACATGATAAAAGTCCATCCAACATCGATTACTGCATTCTAAATTTATCCATTGTCTCATCTACAATGCATCAAATTATTGTATTATGAATTACATGCTTGTGTTATAACCCCCAGACAGATATCCATCAGCGTTAAAACAAATTAAAACTAAACCAGAAACTGCCAAATCGAGGTAGAAATGATGACTGCATATAAATCAACACAAATGGATAAACATGTAATCTGAAACAAGATTTGATGATAAAATAAATTCATACGGCAGGAGTGATAAGCCAGCATATGAAGCTATCTTACAAAATAGATGGAAGTAATTCATTTCAGAAATCTATCATGACCATATTATATCAGAGTTTCCAAGTTGTCAACACGTTAGGTAGATACCACATTCACAACCGTAAATTCAATTAGAGTTGCTTTATAAAGAATACTAGCAGCCAGAAATTTAAAAAATAGTAAACCAGCATCATGCATAAAAAAAATCCAAAATGACACGAACCTTTGTCCTTTCCAACCTTCAGTGCAATAAGCATCAATTAAACTTTGCTCGTACTTTATCCGGTGTAATAAATATCTCAGATGTGTCCTTGTTCTTGAGTATTCATTGACAGTAGTATTATTCTTCACCTGCTTCTTTTTTCTTCCCTTCTTTTTCTTTTCTCCATTAGAACTTCCTGCTTTAACAGTTTCATCAGCTTTAACGGTTTCATCAGCTTTAACAGTTTCATCAGCTTTAACAGTTTCATCAGGTTCAGGAGCCTTGGGTCTCTCTTGCGATTTTGAACGCAAAGACCATGAACTAATCACTGGACCTTTCACTCTAGATTTTCTCTTTCTTGATTGCCCAGAAGCGGCGCCATCTTCATTGTCAATCTGACCAGAATCAATAGTGAAATCAATCTGCACTGGTTCTACTTTTCCACAATTAGGATCATCAGAAGCTGCGCCAAGAGGTGTACCCAAATTTTCATGATTTGTCGACCCATTGGAGGCTACTTCCGTATTTTCAAAACCTGGCAACTCTTCTACATTTTCCAATAACGGTTCTTGTTTTTCTGCACCTGCGTTAAGGGAAATATCTTCCTGCTTTGGTTGTATTTCTGTAGTTTTATCTGATATTTCTACTGTAGATACTAATACATTTACGATAGTCTGAGGTGCAGTCACTTCTTTTTGCTCCACTGTCTCAGTAACCAATCTGTCACATTCCATTGGTATCGATCCATTATAATTTGGATCTCGAGTCAAAACTTCAGAACTTTTCGATTGTTCTATCACGTTAGGCTCGAGTTCATGAGTCTTGTTGTCTGTCCCTCCCATTTGAATGTTCGAAGCTTCTAGACTTGTATCCCTAAAACTAAGAAGCCCTATTCCACCTATATTCCTCCCAGCCCTTCCACTGCAGGTTGCTAATGAATTCCCGCCGTACTCTTGCAACTATATATCCCGTTTACCACCTCCGTAATTTCAAATATTAGAACACCAAAACCCAAACTCAATCATGAAGATTAGCAGTTAAGTGAACTCCACCTTCCAGCTCCACCAAAAGCCCGAAGCCCGAATGCCACAGAAAAACCAAACACAAACACTTTGCTATTCCAATGTCACCTACAACTCCTTAAACAAAAGCAAACAACAAACACAGCTTCTTAGTTTCCAAAGTTTCTACAACTTGAATTACAAAAAAAAAAAAAGGAAATTTAATTTTGACATCGTATCCAAGCTGCTAAAGACACATATACACGCAAAAAACTTGATTCGTACAGTTACCTACGGTCTCAGATCAAGTATATAAACACATATGCTTGTAATTTCTACAATTTTACTCAAATTACCTAAGTTTTTTCGTATCAAAAGCTGAGACGAAAACAATGAAAAGCAAAACGAGAGGAAAAGTAAAGTTAACGGCTGAGAAGATTTGCTCACCCGAAGATTCTTCTCACCGCAGAGCAAAATGCGAAACCGCCTCTCAAAATTAGTGTGTGTGCTTTTTCGCGTCGGAGTGCGTGTGCGCGCTTTTAATCCTTTATTTTCGCGACGAGCTTCCTTCCCCCCGCTCACCGGTGGCACAGAGAAATGAGGTGGGCTTTCGGCAAACCGCTATTGTGCGCACCCGATTATTCCAGAGTCCATTTAATAATTATTTTTAAATAAACTTAAAATATCGACTGCATCGAAATTATTGAGCTCGGTCTTATCAAAAAAAAAAAAAAAAAATTATTGGGCTCGGGTTTCGGCCCATTTTATAAATGGGTTAACGGGTCGTGGAGTTTTCGTGGCCTTATATTGATGGGTCGTATTTTTTTAATCTTTTTTATAGTTGTTTGATGGGTCGTATTAAAACCCGCCAACCCGGTCCAATTTAACTGGATCGTCAAATTTTGGTCCAATTGAGGACTCGTTAAAGACTCCCAAGTATTTCTTATAATTACGAGTTTATCCTCCACAAAAATGACACGCTTATACGCGTCGTAATTTCTTATTTCCACAAACACAAAAACACACGATCAAAGTATCCCAACGGGGTTCAAGCCCCGGGATTTCATGTGAAGTGAAACATCACATCATCTTATTTATTTGTTTTCCTTGTTATAACTTGATCGGAATATCCACACAGTGTTCAGGCTCTGAGATTTCAGATAAATGGAGCAATTTTTCTTCGATCAAGGGATGGGGAAATTGTTTAAGAAGAGTCAATTTTGGTTAGGGTTAAATCGACCGTAGCAACTGTTAATCGATTGAGAGTTGGAAAAATTGTTTAAGAAGAGCTAATTTTGGTGAGGTTTAAATCGACCTCCATCACTATCTATTCGGTGAGATATGAAACCATCTCAATTTTTGTAAATTGAGTTTTAGGCCAAGATATTTTTTTGTTGGTAACCGGAATTACTAAAGAAGACTCAAGAGGGGTGCACTTTATGACCTAATTAAATATATTGGTCGACCTTGTTCTGATCGACAATAAATTGTGAAAAAACAACTAAGTCGGGCCGAGTGCATGAGATTCGTTTTTTTTTTTTTTTTTTGAATTCTTATTGAATTTCTAAATTGTGTAAGCTTGATTTTGTTATAAGCAATCGAACCGATTTTGAATGAATTTTAATCGAGCCAAACAAAAATCAGACTCGAGTAGCTTTTTCTCTACTTTGATTTGATTTTTTTATCTTCTTGTATATGGTTCATGCATCACTTCTTTGCATAGATATTTAGGAATTGACTTAGAAAATTCACAGCCAATGAAGTAAATACCGAAGAAGCATCACTAAATATAACTTTAGCTTTATACTATTTGAACTTTAGGGGAAACCAAAGGGTCCGTTTGATTGTTCTTTTGTCGGAATATTTGTTTCTTACTCTTTTCTAATAATTACAAAAGAGACGATAAATGTTATATCTGATTATTTACATTGGGTAAATTTAAATTGTAGATTTATTTAAGTAACTATTCACTAAATACAAATATACATACAAATTGTAGATCTATGGTTCAAATCCACCAAGTGTAATTAACCAGAAGTAACATCTTATTTCCCATTAAAAACGTTGTGACATTAGATTTTTATAACCATTTTTTTAAATGAAAAAATAATATATTATAAATAAAAAATGAAGACAAAACAATGTGCCTGCAATTAAAACCGCTTTCTCCTTTTCTTTCCTTAATGAGTTGTATCTTTTTTTAATTGTAGATATGCAATTAAGATTGATCACCATATATTATATATAATTTATCAGCTCAATTATATTAAAATTTAATTGGAAAAGAAAAAAAAAATACGTGTAAAAAATATTAAGAAAGGGAAGTTTCCTAGACCCCGGTCGGCTCGGCTCCAATCGAATAGTGACTGCCTCCTGAAATGTTTCACGTGCCCAAAAGTCGTGTGCATCTCTCTATATATGTAGACTTTTGACTATCAACAAAAAAATAAAAAATAATAAAATAAAATAAAAAAAATAAAAGAAAAGAAGAATTATTAAAGCACCACGTTTGTCCCATTAGCAGTACAGTACGACTATCCATATATCCTTACACCAGACCAAATTATTTGGTGGACCATTTATTTATTTAATTATTTTGTTTTTCTTCCTTTAATTTGATTGGAACGTAACAATTCAAATTAGGAAAAAAGATGAAGGAAAAGGGCACTTACTTTTGAAATTTGATTAATCTTTTTTTCTTTTTTTTTTTTATTATTATTTTTTTTTGTTGCATGCACCTATCAAGAAAGCCTAATTGTTTGTCGAATAATTTGTTATTGGTCTTCTGTGTAGAGAGAAGAAAATGACAGTGATATGCTACAAGGGCACAAATCAAATTAATAACAATGTCCTATTATTTATGATACAAGAGTAATTCCAATTGCAATTTTCTTTCCTTTCTCATGCTAAAAGAAAATTAATGATTTAATAAATAAAAAGAAGGATGTATAAAAATAAATATTGTATAAACTACTGACCAAGTGGTGTATTTTGCGTAAATTTACTTGAATTTGAGTCGACTTTAGAGATTTAGACGGAGTTTGGTATAGTTTACAGTCAAGGAGACCATAAATGAGCTTAAACCCTTCATCTAAGGGCGGCGTTTGGCTAAACGTACGTCTGATAACATGTTTTAAGAGCTGATAAGTTGTTATGTCTAAAATCCTTAAATCAAAATGTGGGGGTGTATGTACTTTTTAAAAAATATCTTATTATTTGCTCTTCAACAGCTTATTTTATAATTTTTAAGATATTTTTTTTTAAATTTACTAAACACCTGGAACAGTCTATACCTCTAAATAATACCAAACGAGCTTGGAAAGTTCGATTTTATTTTTAACTATACTTTTATCATCTTATTTTGATTCTATTTGGAGCTTTGTATCTTATAAAAAAACGGAATATATGTGTTCGTCATGCTAATAATTGAAACTCAAATTTAATTTTCAATGATCGATCTTGAATCGAGTATCTAGTAATTCTATCTAAACCTACATGCACACTCTACTATCATTTAGTAATAATGCAATTGAACTTACTCTAAAACATAACACTAGCTCTATTAGACATTTAAATACATAACTTAGGGCTCAGAAAAAATGTAACATGCAAAAACTAGCTTTATATTGTTTAAACATAGATAATGAGAGCATGTGAATGTATTTATGAAATTGGAGGGGACACCAATTAATTAGCATGATAGCAATAGTTTCATGTTATATCAATTAATTCGGAATAGTTCCATTTAATTAATATAAATCACCCGTAACGACAACAACATCTCGTCTAAATTAAATGTCACACTTCAATTTGTTGTTTGGTAAATTAAAAATCAAATATCCAAATATGATTCAACAACAAATTAATAACAAACCTTTACCATGTCACATTCTTGCCTTTTTTTTTTCTTTAGAGTTAATAAATTGGTTGTAATGAATAATATTTTCATCGTCACTCGGAGTCAGGGGTGGAAGTCGGCATAACGAATTACTGTAATTTCCAATATTTATTTTGGTGAAAATTAATTCCAACTTTTAATTCGATTCAATAATTTTGATCAAATTGTAGAAAACATCGTCCCGATTCCTAGGCTCGGTAGTATGGTTTTCCAATTTATTTAATGGGTCATTAAGTAAAATTAATTATATTTTCTAGAAATTTTCGAATTTATTTTGGAAAATAAAAACAGGATAATAATTAAATAAAAATTCCCAATTTCATTCGAGTCCACCCCTTTTGTTTTCTTTGGAAAAATAAGTGAAAATCGAAATGAAAATTACTCCATAATATAATTTGAAACTCTGGAATATATATATGGTAGAAGTTTTCTAATCGATTAACAGTTTTGTAGACGCTACACCCAATTAGATACATCGAGCGATAATGCACCATTGTTCTACAAATAATAACACACACACACACAGATATACACGTGTATATGTGTGTTTATTGGATGATTATTTGTAATTTTGTATAGATACACGGGTGCAAAATCATCCGATATTTTTCATCAGGTGTAGCATTTCGTAGACCTCGATTAACACAGTCAACCTCCCCATGCAACAATTTTCAACGAAAGCCTAACTCTAAGGGAGAAAAACAAAACTAATGTAACTGTGGAAAAATGAAACTTTGTTTATTAATTAACTGCAGTTAACGTTTGACTGGTTAACACACACACGCACACACACAAGGGTAGGTGATTATTACATGTTTGGCAAAATGGAGTGTTTGACATGAACAAGAAACTATTTTGCGTGCATGATGGGATACGTTGTCACACCAGATTGATTAATTAATTAATTAATTACTTTGAATGGAACTATTTCAATTTTTGTGGTTTGAGATATTGATTAACTATTAGTAGAAGTTTATTTAATTATTAGTATCAATAATTAGGGTTTACTTTGAAATTCGTGGACAATCTTTTTGACTCGTCTAATTCGGCCAAATCAAATTTAGTTGTTTCGTGCTAATTTCTCAATGTCTTATTAAAGTCAAAGAAAGCGAAATTAAATGCTGCACATTTCCCATGAAATTTAAAAAATCCCAAATTAAGTAGAATTAGATTTTTTTTTTTGTCACAATTTTTCAGTCTAACATTTATCTATTAGCTTGTATGGTTTGATTTGTGAATTATTGTACGAGAACGATATTTATTCAACAGTCGGTGTATATATATAGTTTTGATTTCTTTTAGAGGAAAAAAACCCACTAAACTAAATGTGTTAATTAGAATAGGGTTGTGAATGGGTCGAATCGGGCAATTATAAGTCAATTACTTATCCGATTTGACCACCTGATTTTATTGAATATTGATAATATTTATAATATTTTTTTATTATTAAAAAAGTTGATTGACCGAATATTACCCGATCAATCGACTTTGAGTAAATTGAAAACTACCAGCTGGCCCATTTACATGTGGGTCGGTCAAAATCACCGGTCCGACAAAAAAATTATCGCTAAAAAAAAAGCAGGTTGAAAGTGATCGGTTGGCCGATAAATCGAGCCCAACCCTAAGTTAGGATATAATTCTAATCTATATTTCAACATATTAATTATGTACGTACACGAAATAAATTAATAACATTTTATTAATCACATTTCAAGTAAACTTGTTTGCATCGTTGACTAGTGACAGTAACACTTAATCAAGAAAACGGAAATTTTATTATTATTAGTGATAACAGTACTCCTCTAATTACTCAAACATTGGAATACTTAAACTAATAACACAACATGTCGAAAAAAATTCACGAGGCGTAACATCAAATAAACCTACTCGAATTAACCGGAGCTCGTGCATTTCTTGGGTACTTCGTATTTGAATACGAAATCGAAAACGGGTCGAATATAATTAGCTGACTAATTATCTGTCAGGTCAAATCTAAAGATTAGCAATCATGTGCATTTAAAGAGCCAACCGCATAAACAGGTATATTTCTTGGTTAAACCAAAGATTATGTATGCAGCAGTTTACATGTTGTTGTAATTTCATTAATTATATTTATTCTGAACAGTCGGTTGCATTATTAGGGCGGTTGTTAATATAATTCAGCTGCTAATTAAATATTAAACACAATTAGTTCTGTCTAATTAATACTTAGGACCAGTTGTTTATTAAGCAAAGTTTAATACAATATGGAATTTTTTTTTACCAGTCTGTAGTTTAAATTATGTAAGCTGTCTGGTTGCAGGAAAGTACGTACATTTTTCTTTTCTTCAGAAAATACATATTTTTAATAATTAATTAGTATAACTAATTATTTCTTAAAGATTAATCATCAATTGGCTTAGATATTCAGTTCGTGGAAGCTGACAACATAGTACATAAATAAAATGTATTTTATTTATTTTTGATTTATTTGTTACAACAATAATGATTTTACATTATCCTCTCCCTTTTATCCAATTTCAGAAACAAATAAAATAAATAAATAATAATAATAATCTCAATTTAATATAACAAAGCATGCACACACACGTTCTGGTTCAAATTATATGTTCAACAGTCATGACTGTACAATTAGTATGCATAATTAAATCAAAATGATTCTATTCCTTCGAAATTATTATTATTATTATTATTATTATTATTATTATTAGGGTAAATTACATCTAAATCCTGAGAAATGCTAAAATAACTTTAAGATCCTTCTTGGATTGATAATTATAGCCATACCCCTGAAACAACTATCGGAGCCAAGATTTCATGTACTGAGGACCAATATGCACTAAATTTGCTTCCCGCGGGGTCATTAATTCTAACGTAAATGAAAATTTATAAATCTTATATAAAATAATAAAGATTTAAGAAATGTTATGAGAACTATGTCACTCATTAGCTCGATGTTGTCTCCACCACCGTCTGAAGCTAATAGTCCGTTAAGAGCCCTAACGGAATAACAATTCCGTTAGGGTTTCTAACAATGTTTTAGGGGTGATTGTAATTACCGATACTACAATGACCTTAAAGTTATTTTAGCATACATTAGGGGTGTAGGTGTTATTTATTATCATTAATATTAATTATTAATATTAATTCCGTAATAAGGGGGAGTGAGACAGGGCTCCATTCCGTGCGCATAAATGTGTATATCATTATTCCAGCAACAATCTACTCCTGAGATTTCATCTGCTGAATGCTGTACACAAATTCCAGGAACTGTGCTGGAAATCACCACCCACGTGATTAATTCTCTCTCTCTCTCTCTAAAAAAAAAATAAAAAAAAAATTAAACTACTAATATTTTCATTTAATTAAATTTAATTTAATTTCCACACCTATATGTTATTATATTCACAATCCTACCCTAGCTAAACTAGGAACTACGTACTATACTAGCTTCTAATTTGGTGTATTATACACAATAATACAATTAAAAAAATACTCATAAAAGAAACACTCATAGACTCCATAACATGTATTTTTTATTTTTCATTTATCAAATTGGTCAAATTATGTATTATTTGATGTTTGATTGGTAAAGAAAATCGAAGTAACCGCACTTTTATCCTAATTTATCATACGTGACTCAGTTGTGACGTAAGTCAATTGATTTTGGTCTTAATGTGCCTGATCGTTCGTCAATTATGATGTTTGATAATATTATTAATTGGCAATCAAGTGCAAAAAATAAGATAAACTTTCCTTTCATGCTCGAATTTATCATTTTATTTTATCTATCTAAAATATGAATGTCTAGGCTTTGGTAGTTAGGATTATAAAAAAAGAGGAGACAATATTATAAATGTGGTGACAATTGTTGTGCTCATCAAAATGTTTTTGACGTTTTACCTATAAAATGAGTACAAATTATCCCCACTATGCTATTTTAGGTGAAGCATAAGTCTAGTTCAATTCATGCATTTATGCAATCAACCACCAAATTAGTTTGACATTATCCAAAGTAAAAAGATTTTTATGATATGTTATATTATGTGCTGCAATGCGGTACATCGTATCATACACGCGTATATATTTGTACATATTGTTATATGTAATTATATGTATATGTGTGTGAGCTTGTAAATCAAAGATGAGAAAACTAAATGAATTAGGCGAAATGCTCCCCTACCGATGTATTTTTATATTCTACTTCTTCTGCAAATCGCTTCATCTTTAGCGCAAGAACACTGGATCAGTGAGCTATTACACACCCTTTCAACGGTGTTTGCTTGTAATTTAGCAATTATAGCATCTTTACAACATCATTTATTAAAAAAATTAAAAACTAATCGACAACTTCTAAATTATACTAACACACCATTGACGAAATGTTGATCATAATTCAAACATCAATATAACAACAACAAAAGCAAACTTATCATCTTCCTACAATACACACACACAAATTAAACAAATGCATATGCAAATACTATTATTAATCCAAAGAAAAGAAATACGAGAAGATAATATTATTAATTGTTTTAAAAATTAAAAAATACATTATTTTTTATAATTTAAAAAAAAAGGAATATAATAAACAAGTCTGACGAATCTAAAAGACGTCACGTAACACTGTCGTCTGCAACAGTGCTAAATTGCCTCTCCCGCCGGCAGCCCATCTTTGTCGTGGACCAACACTTTTACCGGAAATAGGCCTGCTTTGTTGGCTGACGCAGTCCACAGGGTGGTCCTAAACCCCAAAATACCCTGCCCTGTGACTTGCTGACGTGTGCCAACGGGCCCTACCGTCACCCCTCCTGTGGAACAAGGACGACGTGTGCGGGCCCCACCTTGTCCCCTCCCCCGGCTGCACAACATATTTCCGGTAATACCCCTACTTGTGTTCTTTTACCATTTTGCCCCCTCCGAGTCTGACTTTCTTCGTACAACGCACGTTTTTCGCCTTCGGCCCCTACAGTGACATGGCACGTGAGATGGCACCCGTGTTCCCCTTCCTATAAATAGCAGTTCCCCTCCCCCCAAACTTCTCACACCCTTCTTCACAATATAAATAATTGAATTTAATTACTTCCCCTCTCTCTCTCTCTCTCTCCTCTCTCTAAAAATACACACACAGTTTCTGTTTTTTCGTAGCTACATTCGTTCCATCAATGGCGGTCGAATCGATCCTTTCGTCTCCGTTGGGTCCTCCGGCATGCGAGAAAGACGCAAAGGCACTTCAATTCGTTGAAGAAATGACCCGAAACGCCGATTCGGTTCAGGAGAACGTGCTTGCCCAAATCCTGACCCGAAATGCAGAAACCGAATACCTCAAGGGTTTCAACCTCAACAGAGCCACCGACCGTGAAACGTTCAAATCGAAAATTCCGATGGTTACCTACGAAGATCTCCAGCCGTTGATCCAGAGAATCGCCGACGGCGATCGTTCCCCAATTTTGTCTTCTCACCCTGTTTCAGAATTCCTCACCAGGTAATTATTCATTAATAATTAAGCACATACATACTAATTTTACTTGTAATTTATTAATTATGAAGTAAATTATTCAGTCTACGAAATATATTTTGGAGGCTAATTTTATTTTTTTAATTTTGGTTTTATGAACAGCTCTGGAACATCAGCTGGAGAGAGAAAGCTTATGCCAACAATCAAAGAAGAATTGGATCGTCGCCAGCTTCTCTACAGTCTTCTCATGCCTGTTATGAACCTGTAAGTATATCTATATATATAGATACATATATATGAAATGGAGTCCGTTTAATTTAATTTGTTTTTTTTTTTCTTTTGTTCTGACGAATGCATGTGTTTTTTTGATGGAACAGATACGTTAAGGGATTGGACAAAGGCAAAGGACTTTACTTCCTATTCATCAAATCCGAAACCGAGACTCCGGGCGGGCTTGTAGCCCGACCCGTTTTAACAAGCTACTACAAAAGCGAGCACTTCAAGACCCGGCCCCACGACCCGTACAACGTCTACACCAGCCCCAATGAAGCCATCCTCTGCCCCGACTCGTTCCAGAGCATGTACACACAGATGCTCTGCGGCCTTTACCAACGCGAACAAGTCCTCCGTGTTGGAGCCGTGTTCGCCTCCGGCCTCCTCCGCGCAATCCGCTTCCTCCAGCTGAATTGGCAGCAATTGGCCGACGACATCCGGACAGGGTCGCTCAACCCGAAAGTAACCGACCCGTCTGTCCGCGAATGCATGACCCGGATGATGTCCAAACCCGACCCGGAGCTGGCTGATTTCATTGCCCGGGAATGCTCGGAGGAGAATTGGGAGGGTATTATAACCCGAATTTGGCCTAACACGAAGTACTTGGATGTGATTGTTACCGGCGCTATGGCGCAGTATATTCCGACGCTCGATTACTACAGCGGCGGTTTGCCGAAGGCTTGCACCATGTACGCATCTTCGGAGTGTTATTTTGGGCTGAATCTCAACCCCATGTGCAAGCCTTCGGAAGTTTCGTACACAATCATGCCGAACATGGCCTACTTCGAGTTCCTGCCGCACGAGCCGAACTCGACTCGCGACTCGCCCGCGCGGCGACTCGTTGACCTTGCCGACGTGGAAATCGGGAAGGAGTATGAGCTGGTGATCACGACTTACGCGGGTCTGTGCCGGTACCGAGTCGGTGACATACTCCGAGTCACCGGGTTCCACAACTCGGCGCCGCAGTTCCAGTTCATTAGGCGGAAGAATGTCCTGCTCAGCATCGACTCCGACAAGACCGACGAGGCGGAGCTGCAGGCGGCGGTGGAGAACGCGTCTAGGCTCCTCCGGGAGTCCAACACCAGCGTGGTGGAGTACACCAGCTACGCAGATACGAAAACCATCCCGGGGCATTATGTCATATACTGGGAGTTGCTGGGGAAGGACTCCGGCGAGTCGCCGAGCGGGCGCGTGCTGGACAGGTGCTGCCTGGCGATGGAGGAATCGCTCAACTCGGTCTACCGTCAGTGCCGAGTCGCGGACAACTCGATCGGGCCGCTGGAGATCCGGGTCGTGAGAAACGGCACGTTCGAGGAGCTAATGGACTACGCGATTTCAAGAGGCGCGTCGATTAACCAGTACAAAGTGCCCAGGTGCGTGAGCTTCACGCCGATCATGGAACTTCTTGACTCGCGAGTCGTGTCAACTCACTTCAGCCCATCATTGCCACGTTGGACCCCTGAACGTCGTCGGTAATATAATAGAAAAAAAGGATAAAATAATTTGAGAGTGACCGACCAACAAAAGAGAAGTCAATGCCATGAAAAGATTCCCTTTAGTTTTTTTTTCTTTTTTTCTTTTTTGGTATTTAAGAAAGTTTAGTTTCATTTAATTTTTTTTGTGGGTTATTGTGATTAGGTGTGTAAAGTAGAAAGAGATGTCTGAAAGTAATTAGGTCTTTATTTTCAGACTCGTTTCAATGAATTGAACTTTGTTTTGTGTTCTTCAATTTGTTCAAGTAAAGTATCTAAAATTATGAGATATATAGGGGATGTTTGGTTTTATTTCCAAAACCAATTTCCAGTTCTATACTATTCATAAAACCGAGATCATGTTTGTTTCACAATTTTATCCAGAAAATCCCATTTTTTCCTATCAAATTTCTATTGAAAATACACTATTCATACTTTTTTCAATTTTCAAACCTACTAAAACCTACTACTAACCTATATATTTTATTCCATCAACTCATTTCTCTCTCCTCATTAATATTCACACTCTCTCTCTTCTCATTTATCTCTCCTCATTAATATCTACACTCTATTTCCTCTCAATTTACTACTACTAAAAATAATAATAATAATAATAATAATAATAATAATAATAATAATAATAATAATAATAATAATAATAATAATAATGATAATAATAATAATAATAATAATGATAATAATAATAATAATAATAATAATAATAATAATAATA